CGTCAGAAGTATTTAGAAAGCCCACAGACACTGCTGGCTGGCATAAAAGACTGGGGCATATAAATGTCGAATCGATCAAGAACTTGGCCGACAAATCGGAAGGTCTTGACATCATACCGGGAAAGACCAAAGAAAGGTCTCAGTGCGTGGCATGTATCGAAGGCAAGGCCGTTCGACACCCGTTCCCAAAAAGAAGTACACATGTGGCGACTCAAGTCAATGTGTTGCTACACATGGATCTAGAAGGGCCGTTTCATGACACGGCTCTAGGTGGATACAAGTATTACCTGATCATAGTAGATGATTACTCGAGATATTCCCACCTGTATCCAATGATCTCAAAAGATCAAACGTTCCAGCGGTTCAAGGAACATGTTGCCGCTGTCGAATTAAGTAAAGATTTACCGGTTCGAGCGATCCGAACCGATAATGGAGGGGAGTTTACCTCCAGTGCGTTCCAACAGTTCCTGAAGCTTAAAGGAATTGCAGTACAAAGGACGACGCCTTATACTCCACAGCAAAATGGAGTTGCCGAACGCAAGAATCGGACAATAGTTAGCGCTGTACGCGCTATGTTTGCCGGTTGCAAGCTTGGTCGAGAATTCTGGGCAGAGGCAGCGATGACTGCAGTGTATCTACAGAATCGGTCTCCTAACAAGGCGCTAGGCCAAAGAACGCCATACGAGCTATGGACAGGAGAGCTGCCAAAGGTGATGCATCTCAGGACGTTCGGATATGCAGCGTATGCACTCAGACCAAAGCAATTGCTGGCAAAATTGGACACACGCACTAGAAGGTGTGTATTTATAGGTTATCACTCACAGGCCAAGGCATACAAGCTGTTTGACCTTGAAGGCAAGAAAATGATAACAAGCAGGGATGTAGAGTTTGCTGAAGAGGAGTTTCCTTGACTCTCTAATCCCGTTCGTCGAAACAATGCCGTACCAGCAATGACACTGTACGAAGGGGCTCCATTATTTACTCATAGCTACAATCTAGGTGGTGTTACACCGTCTGTACCTATTGCGATAGATAATGTGGTAAGTCCAAAAACACCAGAAACTCCAGGAAATCCAGATTGTGCGAGTACGCCAATTGGAGGGGAGTCAGAACCAGGTCGCCGACAAGTACCAAGAGTAGTACCGACTGCAATGAATACAGCGAGGATGACTGTAGCAGATCGCGGGACCGAGGTCACAACAAGCGATGAACGCATAACTCAGGAGGAGTTATTAGGGCGTGGCATCAGCAGGAATAAGGCTATTAAGACATCGCTAAATGAGTCGAGTCTAGCCGGTTATAGGAAACCGAACCAGAAACCGAGATCGAAATCTCAAGGTTCGAGGAAAGCAGTTCAGGAACGTCCAGTTGACGTTATGAACAGGGATAGAGCCACGATGGCTGCTCCCACAGAATCGACGGTCACAGTTGAATATTCGAGAGTGATATCAGAGACTGCTGACGCATCCGAGCCGAGCATACAGGCTGCGGTGGAACAAAGAATGGTTGAGGATTTGCCAACCAATACAAGTCAAGACGACAGTGATCTGGAAGAGTCAGATCAATACTACTCGTACACTCACGGGAGTGGTACCAGTAATGCCGATGAGTCGAATAACGCAGTGGCGGTTATATCGAACGGATCATCGAGGAACATTGTGCCAGAAACATGGCAACAGGCTATGATGTCGAGTGATGCAGATCTATGGAAAGAAGCCGCAGACGCAGAAATGGATTCTTTGTACAAGAATAACACATGGCAAGAATGCGCTCTTCCATCAGGATTCAAGGCCATCAAAGTCAGATGGGTCTTCAAGATCAAGTACAAGGCTGACGGTACTATTGACAAGTACAAGGCCAGATTAGTAGCGAAAGGATTCGCTCAAGTACCAGGCATCGACTTTCACGAAACATATGCTCCGGTATTAAAATTCACTTCTTTGCGAATCATATTGGCACTAGCTGCAATCTATGATTGGGAAGTTGACCATACGGATGCGAACAATGCCTTTCTGAATGGCACAATTGACGAGGAGCTCTACATCGAGCTGCCTGAAGGATACAACAACAGCACAGGAGGGGAAATCAAACGAGTAGGAAGACTACAAAAAGCTCTTTATGGATTACGACAAGCGCCGTACCAATGGAACAAGGTTCTGGTGGACAAGTGCTTGAATATGGGATTTACGCAATGCATGACGGATAAATGTATCCTCATTCTGTCAGCCAAGGACAGGTTTGTCATGATTGCTATATATGTGGATGATATCCTGTTTGTTGGTAACAACAGGAGTTTACTCGAAAGGATGAAGTCGAAACTGTTCAAGGAATTTAGCATGAAGGACTTGGGTCCAATTCATACGTGCCTGAACATAAGGATAATTCGCAATCGAATGGGTCGAACTATCACCCTATCCCAGTCGCACTATCTCTCTGATGTACTAGAGAAATTTCGCATGTCAAATTGCAATCCAAAGTTTATTCCACTGTATCCTTCGAACCCATTACCAGCTGCCGAGGAAACGGATCCGGTTACATCCGCACCTTACAGAGAAGCAGTCGGGTCACTAATGTATGCTATGATAGCAACACGCCCGGACTTGGCCGCTGCAGTTGGACAAGCTGCCCGACATATGCACCATGCGACTGATCAACATTGGAATGCAGTCAAGCTTGTGCTACACTACGTGCAAGGAACGTTAAGTTACGCACTAGAACTAGGAGGAACCAACGCATCATTGAGTGGTTACTCAGATGCCGATTGGGCTGGAGACGTAAAGACCAGGAAGTCTACGTCTGGATATTTATGTTATGTAGGCAATGCACTTGTATCGTGGAGGTCATCAAAACAGACGTGTGTGGCCGTATCTACTATGGAAGCCGAATATACTGCTGCCGAATCAGCATCGCGAGAATTATTGTTTCTGCGCGATCTACTTGGAGAGTTAGGTTTCGAACAAGATGGACCAACAACGCTATACTGTGATTCGCAATCGGCGATATCAAACATGATTGGACCATCCGTCGTACACGAGGCAACCAAACATATAGGCATTAAGATTAATGCATTACGAGACAGAATCAGCCAGGGACTGATCAAACCAGAGTACATCGGTACTAAGGATCAAGTAGCTGATATTCTGACAAAAGGATTACCAAGACCCGCCTTCGAACAATTCGTCAACCTGCTCGGTCTTCGAGAGTGTTCTCGACGTGGAGGGGTGTTAGACATTGGTAATGTATGACATTTGTAATAGGACCCAGACAGTCAGGATGGGGTCTAGTAACAAGCATTGTATAAACAAGTAAGCTATACACATGATATGCTTAGATATGATGATGACCGTTGCCTCACTCTATGCAAAGACTGTAACGCTTGGGAACCCTTAACGGTGAAGCTTAGGAGTGACGCTTATACCGTCACTAATTCACCACTACTACTTACTATATATAAGAGACAAAGTTCTCTTATCAATAAATAATCACGACTATTCTGATTCATTCCTTCTTCTTATCTTACATCTCTGTGATCTTCCTCTAAAACTTATACTACATAAATATGTCACTATACGTTAATGAACAAGAATGGTTAGAGTGTCACTCATTGACCTGTCAGATCAGCAAGTGTTATTTCGGTGAGTTTCGTGTTTATTGTAGTCACATCAACATCAGCAGGTTGCACTACGGATTTGCTTGACAGAGTTACAGATCCAGTTGGATTGATAGACGAGCAACTGTGCAAACAACTGTGCGAGTTGCAGGATGTTTGAGATCCAACAAAACACTGCTTGCACACAAGTTCACGAATGCAGATTGTCAGACTTGACCATCAACTCGCAGTATAAATTGCATGTACAACAGTTTACACGCTTACCCATCAACAATAAACCCACATAACCAGCAAACCGTTGACGAGCAGCCAGCTCAGTGGTCGGGTTGATGGTTTTTGTTGGAGTTTCTGGATCAAACTTGACCTGATTTGTACCGAGTTGGGTCATGACTACAAGTTTGACAGCAATAGATTGATCTACTAATAATCTGGTCGTGTTGTTGATTGTATGGATGTTGGTAATCCGTTGCAGATTGATACGGAATGTGACCAGAATACCATAAAGTTTATTGAGTGTGCACATCGCATTCGATGCAAAACGCAATAAACAAATGCGAGTTGCAGCATTCATTCAAGGTTCGACACCAGTCGATACAGCATTGACCGCAATGGCATTTATGTCAACAATTGCACGACTACGGAATAAGTCGATTGTTGCTTGGCATTTCGTATCGACAGTCTGCGTGTGTGTGCAACGTGCTGTTGTCGCATATGAACAACTTGGATTGACTTTGTGGACAAAACACAGTCACTGTTGCGGTGGTGTTTACAGTCGTGGAAATGGTTTCGAATACCACAACTGGTATAACAACTACAGGTGTTGGTGAGCAACCAGAGTCCAGTTTGACCAAGATCTGTCCCAGTAATGATCGAATGACATTGTCGTGTTTGGTCATCATGACAACAATGTCATTGGTTTGGCTTTGCAACCGACCAAATGCGCTAATAACAGCGTTTCCAATTGAGTTCATATTACTTGTGAGGATCGTGAACATATGACGGCATTGATAGCCGACATTATTGGCAAGTTTGTTACAGTAAATCAAAGACACAAAAGAATGAATCAATATTCGATTACGTCATTTATTAACAAGTGAGTGAGTGTGTTTATAATATGAAAAAACAGTGAAAGAAACCAAGAATACAGAAAAAGGCTATGCGGATCCCAGTTCAAACGTCATTGTTGATGGTTTTTGATTGTTAAACTATCCAGAAATGTCTCGCATTCACACACTACTAATGTCTCACACAATGCAAGTCAACACTCTCACACTAGTAATGTCTCACATTAATGAGACATTAATTCTGGTGTAAATTTGACTAATTTCCAAATATTTAAATCGTGTGAATTGTCTTGAAATATCCCAAAATTTTGTTATTTTGACTCGATTAAAAAGTCGATTTTTGTTTCACTTGACAAATAACTACGCCTTTTTACCCTTTTCTTCTGCTCACAATGAACACAGACGACCTATTCCTCAACGTCCAATATGGCACACTTATTGCTGAAATCGATGTGACTGGAATCAGTAGACTTGGTAAATTAAAGAGTGCTATCAAGTCTGAGTTCTACAGCACTCTTTCTCAAGTTGATGCTCCCCAACTCCAACTATACACTGACAGTAACAAAGACCAACTAATCAACACTTGGGCTTTATTCAGCTCTCTTCCTCAAGAATACTTTACTCAAGATGGTTCTTGCATTGTTATTGGTGTTTCCCCTCCACCTTCAAGACAGCCTACTCAAACTGACCTAGTTCCAACATCTGCAGCAGCCTCATCCGCACTACTGGATTTTTGGACTGCTTTCACAAACTACCCTAACCCTCTTGAAGGAAACACTGTTGTCCAACTTCCAGCAGACGTATTCATTCTTGGAAAAGATTCAATTGGATCATCCATTTACATCCGTCCTTGTTATCCTAAACTTCTTGAAAAATCACTATCTATTGTGCAATCTGCTGATATACGTCATTTGATCATCCTTGGAAATCCTGGAATTGGCAAGACATATTTTGGTTACTTTTTGCTGTTGCATCTTGCTCGCTCTGGTGCTACAGTCGTGTATGAGAGTGGAGTTGATCAAAAAAGATATCTGCTTACTCCCAATGGTGTACTCGAAGGAGGAAAGGATGCTTTTTGGAAAATCTTGGATTCCTCGTCAACATTCTACATTGTTGATGGCTCGGCACCTGTTGATGTTGATGCCAAGACCATTCTTGTTACTTCACCTCGTCGGGAAATTTGGCATCGGTTTTCCAAGGGGTCCTGTGACATTCGGTATATGCCAGTGTGGTCAAAAGAAGAATTGCATTTCTGTCGCCCAATGCTTTTCCCTAATGTTTCAGGAGAATTGGTAGAAAGTCTGTATTTGAAGTGGGGAGGAATTGCTCGTTATGTTCTTAAACATGCATTGGTAAAAGAACAACAGGATTTTCTCGACAAAGCTTTAGAGGTTTCCAATATCGATTCAGTTGTCGAGTCTTTTGGTAAATCTGACACAGCAGCAGACGCTTCAAGTCGTTTGATTCATATATCAGTCAAGGATGACTTCCACAGTGGTCCTTATCTGTTCGCTTCTGACTATGTGGCTGATAAAATTTACAGCCGTGTCTATGAGAAAAACCGAAATAACCTTATCAAATTCCTTTCTGCTGCTGAAGAAATTGGTGAAACTGGTCAACTTCGTGGGATACTATTTGAAAAGTACGCTCATACAGTTATTGCTAAAGGTGGTTCATTCAAGATTCGTGATTTACGTACCGGGTCGGAGTCTACACTTCAACTGCCAATGGATCTTAGTACTTTGTTATTCTCCAACAATTCTCAAGTTCAAGACGCAACGAATTGCTATTTCCGTCCCATTAGCAATACTTTTGAATCTGTTGATTCGTTCATCAAGCCAAATCTACTTTTCCAAATGACATGTGCCAAAGATCATCCTTGCAGACAGGCTGGGCTTCGTAATGTTTTGGAAATACTTGGTAATCCGTCAAAACCAGAACTGTATTTTGTTGTACCTCCTGATCGTTTTGCCTGTTTTACACGCCAAAGCTACCTCGGAGTAGATGGTAGAGTGGTATTGGAAACCAATACCATTGCGAGTGTTAGGATGTTGACTCAATTTGTTTTGACGTTTGAACTTTCTTCTCAATAAGGTATGTAGACTATAATTAATGATTTTTATTGGCCGCATAACGCTAATCCTAACTCTGTTTCTCGACCTCGTTCTACACAACACACGGCGTTTGATTTCTTAAAGGTGAATAATATCGTATGGGTTCCATTGGACAACAAACCTCACTTTGTGGAAATGACCACTTTCATTGTCAGCAACTTCCCAGTCGTGTAATTTAATCGCTTTGGTTTTGAAACCTATAGTTTCTTGTAAATAATTGCATATCCCAAGACTGTTTTTCACCATACAGTTTTGAAACTAATATTTTGATTCAAAAACAAACTGCGCTTTCCTTTTTCTTTTGCAAATAAAAGTTGTTTTGTTGCTTACAATTATGGACAATCAATTGACTGCCAAACTGTACAGCAGTTTTGCTGACATTGGATTTGTCCGATCGATAGTCTTGGTTTTCAAACTTGAATCAAACTCCCAGCTGACGAAACACTGCAGGGATTGTTACAAGCACAAAAGCAGCTGTTTCAAGAGATGTTGGTATGATACAAGGAGTACCAGAAAGTATACTCTTACAAAGAATTGTTTGCAACCGAATTGAATCAAATAGCCATACGTGATAAACAGCGGGTTGATTGTGGCTTTATTCCCAATCAATGGTATTGACAAAAACAACCGGGGATGAGCCAGGATCAAGAGTTGGAGGCTAGACACAATTATGAATGGAATATGCTAGAGTATCAAAAAGATGATCAAAGAAAGCGTGAAATTCAACAGATCAGCAATGATGTCCAAATGCATAGTGTAATCAAGCAGATTTGAATCCATTTTGGCATTACAAGACACAATATCACATTTGGAAGAGTTGATTGGAAATATAAAGACTTGTACTCGATAAACACGGACTTGTCAATGGTTTGATTTTATACTCTATCATTCTTACAACAAGATCCAGCTAAACCCAGTCTGGTGTGTACATTAACGCTTAGTACTGGTTAAAAAACTACCCATTGTATCCAATTTGAGGCATCAAGTATGAGTCTGGCACAAATAGCTCGTATTTATTATGAATTACAAGCAAAGCTATTGACTATTCTACCCTAATACTTTTGACTTGAATTCCTTTCTGCGAATAATTTATGTTTTGACAACTTTGTGTAGATCGTGAGCATATGATGGCATGTTGATGGTTGTCATTATTGACGAGTAAATTACAGTAGATCGAAGATACAAAGGAATGATCCAATAAACTAATTGCGTTGTTTATTAAAGAACGGGAAAGTGTCTTTATAAAGTGGGAGAGCGATGAACAATACCAGAAGGAATGTATGCAAGCCATCGTTCAAGCATCATTGTTGAGGATACCTGATTACTATAGATCTTCCATAAGAGGTGACTGGTGATCACAACTGATGATCACAGCCCAGATACATGTTAGACATTAATAATATGTGATCTTTGTAATGAGACTTGGACTGCTGAGATGCGCAGTCTGTTGACATGCATTGTGTATGTGGATACTTGTGTGAGCTTCTATGTTTGGTACATAAGCGTAGTCACCATTGATGGAAGAACTGTAGTAACCAGGAATCCTCAACAATGATGTTTGAGCTACGTCCCTCATATCTTAGTATTCTTCCACTACTATCTCACTTTATAAAAGACACGATCTTGGATTAGTAAACAACGCAATTCATACATTGGTTCATTCCTTCATTGTCATCTTTAACCTACTGCAACAATCTTCCCAGTTAACTACTATCAGTATGGTATCTAACGTCCACAAGCTACAATACATACTTTTGTAATAAACAACCAGCTTTATTACTACACCTGCCGAGTCCCTAGTTTCACAATAGTCTTTGATTTCCAACATGAATACCGCTATATTCAAAAATGCACAACACGCTTGATATGGAACAAAAACAGCACTATTGTTCACGTTGCTACAAGTATATTGGGATCATCATTGAATCACACACTGCTGGTAGCTGTAAATCGGACGACAAAAACACAAACAGTGATGTTGAACATGATGAGTAAACCTAGTTGTATTGGTTGCTGTTGCACAAAAACAGCTGTTTTTAACAGTACATTTTGAATATCGTAATGTTGATCAATCACAAATATATGGGTTTTGATGGGTCCGGTAGATCAATTCAGTGTATAGTAGTGATTAGTGCAATATGATCAATTCAAGCATGCCATGCCATGTCGTGTTGTGTCATTGTATTGGTAATGGATGATGTTATTGAATGGATGAGATTGAATGCAAGATAAATAAGTAAACCATCATGCAATACACGCTGGATTGTAGCATATCCTACTCGAGACTGTTGATGGTCCACTTTGAGCTGCAACAATGTGTCGGGTCTGGTTCAAGAGTTTGTTGTTCGCACCAGAATCTTGAGCAACTGCACCATGCTCAGATTGTGACAATCATTGAAATACAACATTGTAGAACGAACCGAATCAAACCACTGCATTACCAGTTGATCCGAGATGCATCATATGGTCAAGTTTTACCAGACTGAACAACATCCAAGTAGTGTTGCTTGAATCCAGTTTTGTAAAACTGATGTTTCCAAACCATATTTGTCGCAACCCAAGTGTTTTTGATGTTCAATCTCAAGTCGAGTCTTGTGAATCGGACTGGATTGTCGTTGGTTTCCGGCATTCATGCTCTAAATCGGCAAGGTTCTCACTCGCCGAGTTGCCAATTCATAATGAACAATAGGTTCAGTCACTGTCAAGTTGAACACTAAACTTGTTATGTTGGCATCATGACCATTTGCTGTGTAACTTGTGATTAAAACATTCCATTCACTGAAATTGAACTAGAATTAAACTAGAGTTGGACTAGAATTGGACTAGAGTTGGACTAGAAATCACTACATATACATCATGTGGATCACCTGGATTAAAATCTGTCAACAGACTGGATCCAGTATTTGTAGTCACGCTGAGTTAGTGTCGCATATACTGAACACTAACTACAGTGACAGACTATTACAGTAAACAACTAGAGTGTCGTTTTACTGGATCCAAGCAAGTTGTCGTTCAACAGGTAGAGTCTTGTATTGTATTTATGTTATCGAGTACGATCAAAAGCATGCTACTAGTATATCAATAGCACCATACAACACCAGTTCATTCGAATGATATTTGTTTGTTCATATAAACTATAAAACTGAATTTCAATTTTAATGGCTGTTGGAATTATCAGCTATAGATTTGCTACGTTTTGCGACACCGATTCCACAAAAATGACAACTCTGGATCAAACTCGGGTCAAACAACGCAAGAGTTTCTACAAGACTGCACAGATGTGATGACTTTAAATTAAACAATGAGTTATCATCAAGACTTGGCTATTACAGTGCTGACCAACTCTCACTTTGACTGACTGATCGAGGACCTCCTTTACAACCATACTGCCCATTTCTTGTTCAAAATACTGGAAATCATCATTTATTCATTACAATTACAGCAACTTGTAATCAACGTCGGATCAAATATCTCACAACTGGAGTCGCCATTGTCTGAATCGAACTTTAAAATATCCCATTCTAAACAAAAAAGTATGAGAGCAACTCGATCAAATACTTGAAAAGAACAAAGTCAACCCCCACTGATTCAACACTTGTTTGTATGTTTGTTGGAATCAGGTCAAGCCTGTGCTGTAAACTAGTTGTTACATCAATCGTCAAAAACAATCCCAGAAAAAAAATTCAATATTTCACACTATTTGTCGTTTGCTACAACATGCTTTGGTTCAGTTACATCAGGCAATATGTCTCGGACTTTATTTGATTGCTCCACTCATCATTTGTCTGTTTTTACCCGAAACGGTCAAATACAAGTGGAAAAAGATTGGATGGTGATTTCTTAAAGGTTCATGGTCACTTTGAATGTTTTACGTCGCGGAAAGAGTTTATATTACTGAAGCAAGCAAGGATGACATGAGACTGGGAATGTCACAGTATTTGATTGGATGTAAAGCTGCAGCAGAAATTAGTCATTTGAACTCGGTGTATGGAATTGTTACAGACTATATGCAGTCGAATTTCTTGCATAGTCTTGATGAAAAGATTGGATTGGACGAGTGAGTTGTGGATATGGATACGACTGGACCTAGTACAGATTATCTTGTCGATATCACTGCCAAAATCTATACAATATTATCTGATGAATGACATGGAGTTGATAAATATATTGGGATACAGACAAACAAGTACCAATGTTTTGACTAAACTGATATTGAAGGATGCTCTTGTTTTAATTTTGCCATTTCTATCTGAACGTTGCAACAATGGAAAATGTGTAATATTACAACTGTAATGTCTGGACAACTGACTGTCTGAATAACAGTAACTATTTCCAGTGATGCTGATTTGTAAAAACTCGAACTATTCAACAACACTCTATCAATGCATTTGCAAGAGTCATTGGACGTATCTGTTGTTTGAATGTTGATTCGCATACATTCAGAAGTGGAAGTTATAAAGTTTATTACCACGCAGACACAATCAATGCATTACTTTTTGTTGGATAGGCTGTATCATCTGTCATCAATTCAGACACACTTGTCAGTCCTGTTCCGTATACAATGAGTCACATATGGACACATATGGACACCAATGCAACAATCAAGAATCAATTGTCATTTACAAGTCCGAATTGCCAACCAACAATCGTACTAATGGACCAACGGACCAATGCCAAATCACCTGCACATCAGACAGTTTATTGGACATGACTTGATTGTTCTTGACAACTGATTGAAAACTGCTTGATGACTCGAGTAATCCAATCACACATTGCTGGCAATTAAATGGAACTATACAATGTGTCATGTATACATTGGATACTATCAGTTTATCAGTGACTATCTGGTATTTGTTTATGCATGATTAGTTGGACTACTATTTGCAATCAATGCAATCGCTGGTGTCAATGACCGATAACAATGAAACCAAACGATTGACTACATCAGATTATACACATTCATTCTGGAATGCAACTCTGCATCGATATTGTAAATATCAACCAGAATCCAAGCCAAACGAGTCAAGCGAGTGTCGCAAGGTTGCATTCATTTGAAAATACTCGATATCAGGCTAAAGTTGCATGTGAAATGGTCATTTGTACAAGGTTAAACAACATCGACATTTACAATCAATGTGATGTTGGAACAGAGCTGCTATTTCCAAATTTAAAAGTCCAAATCGTACACATTGTTATCAAGTCTAATCCACACCCTTCATACCATGTCATGCTTGATAGTTTCATACACTGCTGCAAGAGTTGTATTGTGTGTATTTCGAGTATTTCCATCACTCCATCACACTGTATTGGCTCAAACAACTTGAACAGATTGTCATAATCTGACATGATTCCAAAATAATTGCAATCGGTTATATTTGACATGATCGGATCATTGTAAACCATTTGATTTCAGTAATTCAAGATTAAACAAGCCAATGTTACTTTTTCCAAATTTGAATCAGCATGTTGTTGTAATATCGTCAATATTGTGAGCAACTCTGAGCAGACACTTGGACATTCAGTATCAAGTGATATTGGATACTTTCAAATATGTATCCGGTGATAAATGAGCGGTGATGTGTTTGAAATCAATTTACCATTACAAACCATTGTGTATTTGCCAATACACTTGATGGTATCAATGGCCACTAATGGATTCAACTTGCATTCCAAATGAGCCATCATGTGGTAACCCAATTGTTTAGTATTGGTTGTTATTTGATAATGTCACATTTTGTGTCCTGCCATGAGATTGATTTCATCTGAACATTTGACAACCGTGCAAGAAACATTGATTGAACTCGTACAGTTTCATATGCAAGTGCATCAGTAGTGTATCGACCAACGAGACCAGTTTTGTTGATTGATACTCGTTGATACTCGCTGATAGCTTGATGAAAATGTGTCAAACCATGACTTTTATGACAACACTGTACAAACTGTACGAGTTTAAAAGACTATTGGTAAATATTGTCCAAGTCTGATGATATTATCCATTGACGGGTGATCGATGAATATCTTGTATCAAACTACCATGCAAAATCAAGCACATCTCAAGCAAATGGGTTACAAAGTTGAATGTTTGGGGATGCGAATTTCAACTTTCGGAAACACTGAAATGGACAGCATCATCAAGTGTAACAATAACTACCAAATGATTTCAAACAGGTCGTTTACATCCAAAGACACTCTGTCATACTTGTCACCCAATACCTCGCAATACATCCATAGATCAGCTCTTGACAGTATTCAATGCTGAACTGTAAATGGGTGTATTTACCCAGAGTAGCCCAGAATATATACAAGTATGTCGACGAATATCCAGATTTGGGACCATATACTGTGAATGTGATTGAGCACGTCAAACATTGACATATTCCATCCAGGAAATGGTTCGATAATGATATAAAGTGCAAAGCCGTACCAACATTGGTTTACAATGAGATCGTCAACAACACCAATATATTCGATATACTGAATGACTACAACAACTTGGACGTAAACCCACGACAGAAGCAACCAAAATGCGTTGCTATTTGATCCAATACTTGAATCTGGATATCCATAAACATGACATTCCAATTACAGGATGAGCATTGACATACCACTGGCAAATGAATAATAAATACTGTGAATGTCAACTATTCAAACGCAATAATGTGTTGTGTCATACATACATATACAATGTCGTTGGACCATCAAGCATCGTATTGCATCATTATCATGGACAGGACAGGACAAGAACAAGACGAGATAAGTTCTGTCGACAAATTCTGTGATATGATGCTAATGCCTTGTATATATGTCATTGGTCAAGACATGCTATGCGGTAACCATCAGGTCATGGAGCTGTACCGTAACATCATCAAACATGTCATGACAGAATCACTATTTGGTGTTATTGAATGTGACATTACCGTGCCGAATCAACTCTGGAATGTCTTTGCCGAGATGCCACCAATATTCAACAATGTGGGACTTGTGTTCAACGATATATGCGCTGAACCACAAGATCGGGTAAACCCAAACTACAAGTGTAACAAACTAATTGACAGTTTCTTTGGAAATAAAGTGTTATTCCATACAGAGTTGCTAAAATGGTACGTGAATAAATGTTTGGATGTTTCCAGTGTAGCTTGTACTGTAAAATACGAGTATAACACACTGTTCAATGCATTCATGAATCGTGTTTCGAATGACATGCGAGTTGGAGATACCAAACTTCCATATGAAAGTTTTAGTAAATGTTGGCAGCTTTTCAAACCTCGATTGCATATTTGACCACAGATGACTGACTGCAATATGAATCTTAATCACGTGTTACTATACCAATATTTTCAATTCGAGTCTCGAGTTGAATTTGAGTCTTGAATCAAATGCCACCAGAGCTCACCTATGCCAGCAAACTCATACTTGCACCAATGGTACGAGTAAGCACTCTTCCACTTCGTCTATTAGCACTCAAGTATGGAGCAGGTCAGTTTAAAATTTATATTTGGTGTCTTGCCAAGCCAAACCAACCTATAAAACACCAAAATGTTAGCGAATCAAACGTAGTTGGTTTCATGATTCGTATATGAATTGAACTGTGTTTATACAAATGCATGAACCTTGCTGTTTTTACTATAGATATTGTTTACAGTCCAGAGATTGTGGATAGAAGATTGATGCGATCGCAACGAATTCAAAATGGTAGGATAATATACAAGTCTCGATATGACCATGAGCACAGTATATCAGCATGTTTATTCTTAAATTTGATGGTGGAATTTGACTTGTAGATAAATTTGGCACAATCGATTATGTGGATGATAGTGGATCACTCAATCTGAGAATCCATCCTAATGAACGGGGTAGGCTTGTTGTTCAACTTGGTTCTTCAAACCCAGTGTTTGCTGTTCTAGCTGCTCAAAAAGTGTATGTAGTATAGTTTGTTTCACCAGTCTTTTGAATCATGGCACTGCCTATTATTTATACAACGTAGTTGAATTCTGGATGAATCTGAAAATCAAATGGTTTTTAGGGCAGGTGATGTAGACGGTATCGACTTGAACTGCGGATGTCCAAAAAAGTTTTCGGTTTCTGGTGGTATGGGATCAGCATTACTAGAGAATCCAGACACGCTCGAGGCTATTTTGACAGCACTGGTCTCGAGTGTATCTATTCCAGTCACATGCAAAATTAGGTAAGCACCTTACATTACAGCATACATGGGGAAAGCATGTTAGTTCTGAATACTAAAATTAGCAATGCTTTACTAAAATCTCGCAGACTATTGGATCCGAGAGAGGGGAAAACATCAATTGAACGAACGATTGAACTGATGCAGCGTTTAGAAAAAACCGGGATTTCAGCGATTGCTGTACACTGCCGGTTTATTCATGAACGACCCCGCCAGCCTGCTCATTGGGATGTATTTGAGCAAATTTCAAACTGCATATCCATTCCTGTTATTGCAAATGGCGATCTATGGACCATGGAAGACATACATAAATTTAGAGCAACAAGCGGATCAGGTAGATTGGTCGCTGTTGCTTTGAGTCTTTAAGCACACTGGTTAAAACAGTAGCACAACTAACTTGTTTACTCGATTATAATGTGTTCATTTGAATTTCATTGATTTAAATGTTCATTAGCCGTGTCATCATTCATGATTGCCAGAGGGGCGCAAGATAATGTATCAGTGTTTTGTAAGGAGGGACTGGCACCTATATGGAGCGTACTAAAGGAATATTTGCAAATTGCTCAAGAATGCGGTGCAAACTACTACAGCATTAAATATGTATTGCTACAGATGTGGAGTGGCCAAGATGGGATCGAGTTTAGACAACGGCTAGTTCGGTGCAAGACAATCGAAGCAATAAGGTACCTTGTTATTTCAAACGAGATATTCAAACGAGTGTTTGCTGACTATTTTGATTTGTAGTGATCTATTCAAGGAACTAGATCATTGTCAGGGATTACTCGCTCGATCAAATACTCAACCTCCAGTGGCATAGTGTCGCAATTAGCTTATACCTATTTTTGGAATCATATCAATACAATTTTTAATATTGTACATTAATCTATACTGTTCTGTTGCATATCAATGAGTCACATATAAATGGTGCTACGGTTAGTACTAGAAGAACTGGACTATTCTAAACTGTTGAACCTATTCTGTTTAGACGAATGTATTATCCCTTGACAAGTCTTATTACTCATGATGATGGCAAATCAAGTTTTTTGCAAAGGATCTGGCCATGGCAGCTTTGATGGTCCATTTATGCAACCGGATAGACTGACAAACAATCTGCATACACGAACAGAGACCTCGATAACGCAATACGTTCCATGCAATTAGGTCATAATGAGATAAGGCAAATACCAAGCAAATGCTGTGCTATATGGCTAAACCAATCAAATATCGAATGCAATAAGATAATCACATGCTCAATACAATCACGTGAATAATTTAGGTTTGCATAAAAGGCGCATGCAAATCTCTCAATTTGCTCATCCAAATCTGACTGTTCACAAGCCATTCTGAATTCAGCTCGCTCCTAATACCTTTATCTTGACATGTCTTCTACCCCACTTACCAAACCTACCGGAATGTCCACCCCTGCCAAGCCAGTTGCTGTTCCAGCTGACGTGAGCCACCGAAGTGCCTACGGCAGCTTCATGTCCACCTCTGTGGGATCTTCGATCTATTCTAGCAGCCATCAGTGTCGTGCTTCGGGCCTGTCCGCTGCTTCAGCATCGGAGGCTACTGGAACAACACCAACCAGTTTTTTTGCATGGTTATCATCATCGCCTGCATCCCCTGCTGTCTCGTCGTTTCCCATGTCTTCACCTGCTTCCACTTCTTCGCCACGGGTCCGCCAATTCAACGACGGTCCATTTTCTGGTGGTTTCCGATCCAACGTTTACTACCATTAGATGCATTAATCTCATGTACAGCTGCCTATTGTTTATAGAGGTTGTTTTTAGTTTATAGTGCGCAACATTACTTCACTGCCTATTGTCAGTTATTCACTCAGCGTACTTTGCCGACTTCTTTCCTTGGTCCTTTGCTTTGGGCCTAAGCATGTCAAGTCTTATTCAAATGTATATACCCAAATATATTACCTTTTTGATTTTCATTATCATGGCTTGAAATGGGTACCGTGTTAGAGTTGGAGATGCTTTTTACACTGGATGCTGAGTCCGGGTAGTGAACCCATACTTTACCTGCAACTCTAGTTTTCTGAAAGCAGTCTCATTATTCTGCCCCTTGCTAGTAAATGCATGGTGTACTTTGAGCAGTAATATCATGTGATGGAAATAGAGGCTTGGCAGCGGCCACTGCAGATGTGATGGGTTTGTTGCTGGTTGGTCTCGGTAGATATATTATCAATAAGACCACTTGTAAACTGCTATACACAGCATAATTATATCTTCCGCACTATTCTATCATGCATTTGGTCCAACTGTGCTCAATAACTCAGAAATAACCATTGGATCATGTGATGCTGGTTTGCTTCAAACCTTCAGTCCAGCCTTTCTTCATTATTTAACCTTTCCTATAAATTCTGGACTGCAATCGATCTCTATTTGACATACTCGTACATCTCTAAAAATGACTAGGACCAAGCGTACTTCTGGGTTTTCCGTCAACGACCGTCGGTATGCCATCATGCATGACTATTTTCGACTAGTTGTATTATCATCACTTTAGATTAAACCCTGGTTTCTTATCTACCATGCTACATTTCTTTTCTGTCGAGTTAGTTCTGGGGAAAACGCTTATATGGATGTTAAAAAGAATGGTGCTGGTCGAGGCAACTGGGGCAAGGCTTTAGACCAGACTGCTATAGATGAGGCTTGCTATCGAGCATCTATGCCTGGGTTTGACACTAACCAATCTCGCAAGGTAATACACTTTTGCAAACAACCAATCCTCTGGCTCTAGTCAATCAACAGTACTGATTTACAATGGATTCTACTGTAAACCTGCTAGATTCAAGTTCAAGCTGCTTCCGGCAAAATGCCAATGGTCTAGAAACTCTTTCTAAATCTCAGCCTATTGTTTATATTCTCGCGACTTCTATCCTTGAGAACATTTGAAAGTCTAAAGCACCAATTGGAAGACTTTGTCGATAAAAATAAAGCAATCTAGTATTGTTCAAGATTTCTATTGATTGATCTGCTGTAAAAGGTTGTTTGAAAGACTCTTGGTTGAATCAAACTAGGCATCAACTCTATTGTTCAAAATAAACCAAAGTCATCCTGGGAACAGTACTAATTGATTGTGTCGCTGTTGGACGTGGCAACTCATCTGTCAACCCGAGGCAAAAGCAAGCCAGGGATGCTGGTTCCCAATGTCTACTTGCAATATTTGGGTTTTATAAAAGAACAATTGGAGATTGAACAAGTGGGATCCACTAAAATGCTGCTTCACCATTTGTTTAGCTTTCTATATAGAAATAAGCAAAGATTGGAGTTCAAGGAACGCAATGCTCAGTAAATGTGGTGGGAACTGGCGCCAATCATTCCATGAGGCTGGTTGTAAGACTCGCCAGTTCCAATACAAAAGCTTCAGATTGCCACTTTGAGAGCTATAAGTAATCTGTATTTCCCTTGTATCCATCTGATCAGCCAAGAGTTTACAAATATCTCCAGCAAACCTGTCACTTTCCAAAAGTTGCCCATTGAATATCAAATTTTCAAATATGACCCGTTCAAATCGATCTTCTAGTTCTGGTGACCGTCATTCACGGCAAGTGTTGCATTTTTGCTAAAGCCACTATTTTATCAGGCCATATGCTTATCCTGTGATATAGAAGTAAACACTCTGGTGCCCCTAAAAAAGGTGGTGCAGGCAAGGGTGGATGGGGACAGCCAGGCAGTGAACTCGAAAATGAAATGCATCACACTGCACACCATCCCAGCATTGATCCGCCATCACTACGAGCAGCAGGAATACGGATGAGAATGGAGAGATAAAATAAAATAAGATTACCAGCAACCATCATTTTAAATTTGTTATTGGCGAATTTAGGCCGACTATCTATTACCACCTTGATTATCAGTGGTTTGAGATCAGTGTTTTTGAATTTGTATAAAACTGCCAAATTGAACACTAAATAGAAATATAAGCGATTCCCTAGAGTCAGGTAGTCATGAAAAAAGACTGGTCCAACCGCTTAAGAATGCTAGAAGAAGAGTTTTCCTTCCGAGGGGATAAACTCTTCTTTTTTGTGGTTTGATATTCGCATACTCAGTTTCAACTGCCATCAATGAAAATGATAGAGTCTTTGAAATATGCAGAAAATAAAATCAGGATAGCTATTATACCAAAACCCCACATCACTCGGTTTGTCTTGTCGGTATTTCATTTATATACAGTCCATGACAAAACGAGAGATGCAGCTAGTCATCTCAGAATGCTGTTACAATCAAGAAAATATCCTGAAAAGAAAATGCTGACAATTTGGAAATATTTAATCTGCCGTACCTGAGGGAAATATCATGTACAGGGAATTCGTTTTACTCGTATAGCCGTAAAATAAAAAGCAGATTCGATTTACAGCTGTATTCATGTAGAATGGAGCACTTGTACTTATCTTGCAATCATTGCCTCTATTTTGATTTTGATATAGCCATACATTGCACAATCACCAGGTTTATCCATTACAATATGGATATTGGATCCAACTGTTTTGATGTTTCCAGTACAACTATATAAACTCATCCTTGTTGTATTCTAATCTCGGATACATTCGCGTTCCAACTCAAAAAACCAATAGTTGCATGTTTCTTGAACAACAGCAGTCTCCATACTGATCACCCAATGCCATAATATTCGGTTTGGAGGAATGGAAATTGAACAAATGTGTGACGTATTGAAACTAGAATGACAAGATTGGCTCAGTTTATACAAAAACAAGAAAAGGCTAGTCAATGACAAGTCAAATGACAGAATATTGAGTGAATTGTCATTTCATGAGCTGTTTATTGATACTAACGCTCATATTTAGCGTCTAGTTTTACGTGAACACAGCTGCAAGTGAAAACAATGAGCAAAAATATACTAATGACGAGGAATAGTAAACCTTCACTTTCACCAATTCACACGTTTCAAACGCAGACACTACCATGGACAAGATTAAGGAGGTAAGTACTTTGTCATGGACTTGTCTGTATTGCTATGACTGAGTTGATAGAAATGTGAGCATGGTGTATTACCACAATAGATTGATGCAAGATATCTGTACTCTTGAGTATCTGGAGTGAATGAACTGGAACAGTGGCAATAGCTGCAAAACAATTGTAGCTACTGCCAGCTGTATTACCAGAGAGTTCTAATAATAGAGCTGGGGAGAAGACAGTGCTATACACTGTGATTATATGAGGGTAATGCCTGCATATGCCAGCTGGTCGTTTGGGTGGAGGCTGGCCAGCAGTGGGCGTCGCGCAGCCATCACTCGACCCACATGCCGCTATACTAGATTGGGTTGTGCTATGATAGTTGGCCGAGACTAGTATATGCCATGTAGGCTTTTTGTAAAATGAGCCGATTACCTGCTGCTTTCAATCATCCTGCTAAAAGGTCAACAATGCATCCACACCCCTTATAATTGTGACGAGGCCGTTGACTAACAGTCGGCTATTTTGTCGACTCTGTCTATATAGAAACTTGAGAAACTTAGGATCGAGGCCGATACTAGCATTTCTCGTGCTGAAAAGGCAGAGCTTGAGGTTAAAGAGCTCAAGGCAGAGCTTGCCAAGAAGGAGACTGAAGTCCAGACTTTCCAAAACAAGATCTCTCTTTTGCAGATGGATCTCGAAAGAGCCGAAAAACGTGCTGACGAGGTATGCATATACTCTGTTTTTTATACAATACATTGATGGCGATTGAAATCCCCTTGCAAGTAGAGTGTGCCTATTGATGTATCAACATTCCCTTGCCTCAATTGATGCATATCAACGTGATGGCTTGTTGGGTAGTCCAGATATATAATGGTATTATGGATTATCGTATCAGATGCCTGTTTGATGGCCATTATCTGGGCTACCATTATAATTTTGGTACATCTTTAATAGATATCCATGCAACCCCACCAAGCATGCTTTTTTGCCATCCAACTCCATTGGTTTGAGAGTTACTATTGTAATTGAATTAAAATGACGCACAATTTGCAAATATTGAAATGTCGAGTCAAGCGACTGCTTTCAAAGTCGATTGGAATACATTCCGATATTAGATATCAGAGCCTCTGGATATATAATTGTCAACAACTTTTATCCAAATCTTGTTTTCAACCTTTTAATTTAACCATGTTATTTTGAAAATTGTAGAACAAGGTAAAGAAGGCAGAGAGCGACAAGGGTGATTCTGTCAAGGAGGCTCTTGAGCGAAAGCTCCAGATGCTTGAAAAGCAGCTTGACGACAAGGAACACGACCGCAAAGAATCAATTGAAAAGTACGCCATTTATATGCATGCCAAATATGATTTTACATTGATGTTTGCATCTAACCTATTTATATTAAATCAACAACTGCTTGATCTAATGTAGATCTCGTGCTCTTGAACTCCACGCTGAAACTCACGAGCGCAAGGCTAAACAGATTGATGCTGAACGTCAAGATTTTGAACGCCGTCTTGATGAAATGACCAAAAAGTACGAGCATGTCAAGGCAGAGCTCGATCAAACATTAAAGGACCTCGAGGGACTTTAGATCTTGCTCTACTGCCGCTACTTTCTAAAATCTGCTTACTTATGTCTCAACTTTTTACTTTTTGTGCGACTGTAATACATTTCTGTCTCTACTTTGAGAGTGATGAAGTCTTTATTGCATCTAAAAGTCTTTATTCTTTCTGTCTGCTATTGCAATAAATGGAGTTGTTTCTTTACTGTCATTTTTATTCTGAAATGTACAACTTTGGTTTCAATGAATGACCTTGCAGTCAAGCTGGCATTTTTTTATCACTTTAGTGGTACTAGCAGATGACTTGCAGTGCCAGATGAAATCCATAGACGCCTGCTTAAATATCACACAGTTATGCTTGTCCTGCATAGTTTTACCAAAAGCAAGGCCATCAATCACTCACTAATATAATAAAATTACAAACGCATTAAACACTAAATCGTGAATCATGATTATATAGAGCCATATTCACGTAAAATGAAAGACTAAATAAAAGTAAAAGTATAATAAACAGTCTCATGACATGATTGGTGTCAAATCTACTGGAAAATATTGTGACTTTGAAACTCTTTAGTCTATTGGTCTTCTGATGACTGACGCAAAAATAACTGCAGTCTGTTTTCTTGAACTAAAACGCGAATGTATCTGATTAGAGTACAACAAGAATGAGTTTATACATATTTAAAATCAGTCAAGCCCAAATATGAATTGCAATACATGAATCTGGCAATTGTACAATGTATAGATATGCCAAAAATCTGAATTTAAAACCATAGTTTGATGTTGTGTTTATTAAAGAATCGAAAATGTCTTGGAAAAGCAGTCAATTCCTAGCAAGAGGATACAATAAATACTCAACGATTATATGTTCTGGAGCGGAATAGAGGCTCTGACTACAAAATAAATACAGAAAAGTGTTTCATTTTGTGAATACAGCTATAAAACTCTTTCCAATGAAGTCTCTGATGCATCGAATGACTGAGAAAACCCTGATGCGTAGCTTTGATTCAAAAAACTAAGCATTTCACCATTGGTAGCCGCATGAAATACTTTAGATGGATCCTTCTCGGTCCAAAACAGTGTTTTTGTTGCTCTGGTCTTGAGTTTATAAGCAAGTTGGATATAATCTGAAATGAGTTGTGGCAAGGTATCCTTTGTATGAGTAGCGATAACTTCAGATGGACGACCTACAGAAGGAAGGCGACTGTGTTGAATAAAATCATGTGATGATGTACTAGAGTCTAGTGCTGCTATTTGTGCGATTCGGGCCTCTATGGTGTCGACAGAGGCTTGAATAGAAAGTGTTGAGAATTGCGGATTTGGACGAGTAGTATCTTCAATTTCATAGATTTGAGTTAAAAATGGATTATTATACAAAGGTCAAATGCATTCATCAACAGTACCTGCAGCAGTATCGTGAGCCAACACATCCTGCATTCGATATACCAATGGATCCAAATGATCGATATGCTTTTGCACCAATTCTTTGTAAGCGCATAAAGCAGTATACATGGATGCAACGCATTCTTTTAAATCCGTGACAGTTTGGGTTTGTTGCTTGAGGGCTATCATTTGAGCCCGCAGTTCTTGCTCTAGGTCATGCACCAAGTCATTGCGTGTTGCTGATGCTGTTTCTGCCTCGGACAAAAGCACGGCAAAACGGCGCTTATCCAAGAGAGCGTTATTACGCTCTTCTTCGACCTGGCGAAGGCGGTAAAGAGCTGATTCTTTGGATGTTGGGCTGGGCAAATTTAAATCAGGATTATCGATAATTCGAGGTTGAGATGGTGGAGCATATGGAAACATGGAACTCGCTGGGCTGGCGGGATGGTGCTGGTTAGAATGGTCGCGAGGATCTGATATCAATGTATGGCCATCTGCCTTGTCAGATGCTTGCGACTTTTTTGGAATTTGACTGGATTGTGTAGCCGGTGTAATTTGTTTTGATGCTCCCGACCCCATTCCTATAGATGGTATTCGAGTCAGTGCTATAATGAGACGCTGTACTGAGCTTGTCAATCAATGCGTGCTGGTTTGATAAAGACACTGCAATAGTGATGATTTGTGCAGATGGTGATATCTGCTACTTTGTGGTTTGGCGAGTAGAGTATAATCAGCTTGTTTTTTGAAATAAATTTAGACTGGAATCTCGACAAATTGCGTGTTGCCGATATTCTTACAATGGAATTGCATGTACAAAAGTCTATTGAAGAGATGTGGTCAAAGATCATGCTATAATCTAGAGTTGACAACTTGGTATTCTTATAAGCCAATGAATTAAACCATTGCATCCCGACATCTGTTTAATCGATACCAAATATACTGTTTAGAAAACTTGGCAAGCGTATCTCCAAGTAGCGTATATGAATATATATTCATGAATGTATAGATTCCTATTAGAGAATTATCCAGTGAAATGACGGACAGTTGAGAGAATCAATTCAAGCAAAGCAATGCGATTTCCAGGTTTCTTCATAATAGCTCAACACTTGTATTTCCACCATTAGAACATGCTGACTGCAAGGTCTCGTAATCACAGTCAAAGTGCAAGTAGCAGCAATACTGTATCAAACACTTCTTCCAGAACTACTGTCAAAGACGAGTCTAATGCGAGATCATTGTCTGGCTTAAAACCAAAACCAGTTTTTGTTAAACCGTCCGATGTAGTCTCTGTTGCAACCCATTCCTCCAGGTAAAACCATGTCTAGTTAGGCCATGTGTCCATAGAACTGTTTATTGTATTCTGAACAGTTTAAATTGTACACTTAGATCTGGTCTGCTTGCCTCCAAAACACCAAAGTCTTCATCTTGGCACTCTGCCGTGACAGGCACAGAGTAAGCAACAGTGTTGAGCTAGCTATTTATGCACTTGGATTCTATCCATATTTTATAACCTGCCATGCGTTTTATATCTTTAGCAATACTGAGCAATTAGCAAGTAGTCGCCCTTTATCCAATCAGACTTTCGCAACTTCTACTCTAGGATCAGCATGTGCTTCACAGTCCAGACTTCCTGTTCTCAAAAAAAAGCAAGTATGTTCAACTATTTTTCGATTTGATTGCATGGCAAATTACACCTTCATCTGTAGTTGTATATAGTTTGAAACCAATGCTAATTATGCTTTTTATCAAGTCTTCTGTCCGACCCGTTCCAGATTTTGCTAAACTACATAAAACTTGGGAGTCAAAGCTAGCATCAGGGAAATCAATCAAGTCTTCATCGCAAGATATCACAACTTCAAATAAACTTTTTGAAAAAAGCACCAGTAATAATGGTGCATGTAGCTTTCCTTCAAGTGCCGATTCTGATATTGTCCCCAAATCTGCTGCTTATCGGAAACCCACACCATTTGCCATACAGACAAATCAACAAAAAAGTCAACTACTTGAACCAAAAGCATCAACACCATTACTTTCTACAACTGGATCAGCAACATTGAAAAACGATACCAAACCATCCCAGGCTGTTTCAACTCAACACAACACTGTCCACTCACCCCACAATGAGGAATTCAACAATGCTTCTTTGGCCAATATTCTTACAAGCACATCTTCTCACGAGCTGGATATGGCCCATTCAGATGATATTGAAACTCGATCGTATGGCGTGCTGAAGCGTCGGACAACTTTGGCTCAACTAAGCAATTTTTCTGAAAAGTATTCTGCCGAAGATACTGGCTCTAGCACTAGAGGAAATAGAAGAGTCGGAGAAATCGCTAGTACAATTCAGCATGTAAGTCTGCTTGTTGCCACTATCCGGCTGTTAGACTGATAATTACATCATGCTTGAAATCAATATTAGTTTTGTATTGAACTTGATGTGTTATTCTAGGAAGATCTGCGAGTACTCAAGCGTACTTCTCTTTTTCAAGCTCCGATACGAGTTGCTCGCAAACCATCTCATATTGAGCTTTCTCGAAAAAATAATGATCTATTAGGACCTTTGGTCTCTGCCGAAAAAGAACTGACAATTACTTCTCAGCAGCAAGAACTACAACGGTATCCAGCCAGACTACTTGGGCAGGCATCACGTACCCCAAACGCATCCAAGATCGCCACACTACCCTTCACACCACGAACTTTTGCCAACAAGGATCTAGCGAGAGCGTTGGGGAAAGCGCTGATGGAAACTTCGACACCTCCCGCGCGAGAGCCAACTACACCCCGCCAGAGTATGTTTGGTGGGGTACAAAGCAGTTTGAACACTACTTTGTCTACAGATACAGCTCCTTTGCATTATGATCAAGGACGGGGATATGCATTTAGCGTTCAAACTGAGCAATCAAATCTTGTTCTCACTCAGTATCAGCCGCCTAGCACCATTTCAAGCCATCCTGATTCAATAGTCGAAAAAACAGTGCAGATATCAAAGCCTCGGGGGCAACTTCCTAATCCATTTGATGTACTTGGAATCACACCACATTCGACTTTTTCCTGGACAAACTCTACATTGCTTTCCAAGGGGTCATACACTGGGCTGCCTGAAGGTGAAGACATTAAATTAGAAACATTTTCTTATTCTGCAGCGAACGGCTTGAATACATCTTTTGATCCACCATCATGCACAGATGACTCGTCTACAATTGCATCATTGCAGAGCGAGTTGGATAAATTGACATCGATGGAAGAAGCATTAATGCGAGAGCTAGAACACGAGACTTTATCCTAGCCATGACAGATACTTGACATTTACGGCTAGCAACAGTGGGGATGAGAACGGAGAGATGAAATAAAATAAAATTTCAGCAACCATCCCCATTGTCGCTAGCTGTGAGGAGTTGGTTTGGCAGTGGTGCATTCAAAATCTCTATCTGCATGGTATCTTGCTGTCACTTTAGAAACCAAATGAATATACTGTTGTATAAACGAAACAAGATCAAAACAGTTGTATTTTCCAGTGGGTTTAAACTAACTAGAATTCACCATTTACTAGCATTTTAAATGCAAATCATCGATTTGGGTTTAGACTGGAAATTAACAACCGTATTCACGTAAAATGGAACATCAAAGTCGAAATACATGATAAACAGTTAATTTCATGTTTGATTGGTGCCAACCTTACTGCACAATATTGTTTTATAAACTCATTAATTCACTGGTTTTCTCCATGTTCATTCTTGTATAAAAATACATTCCACATCTTTTCAACCTTCAAAACAAGCATTTAAACTAAACACCAAGTGACTGAATGGAAACAACTGTTGCACTCCTGAGATGTTCTTTTGGGCTAGATCGCAAAACTATGTGATGTTAGGATACAACAGAGTTTCAATAAAAGAAATAATCAATTTCCAACAACAACGAATATGTAACCATTATTTATTCCAAGACAATCATTACAAAATCAATACAAAAAAGTGTTTCATTTTACGTGAATACGACTGTAATTTTGTTTTAAATCATTCAACATTGTGTCCTGCTAGTCTTATTGCATCGTATATTACCTGCAATGCCTCCCCAACCATCACTTGGTCAGAATGACTTATCCAAGGTTAGAGTGTCAAGTCCATTTCCAACCCAATACTTGGCTGTAATGATGACCCTATTGTGATGCCATCATGAATAATGAAGCACTTGAAAAGAAACCAATACTAACGCTCTCATTCCAGGCCAAGAAATCATCCACTGTAACTAATGCCGAATCAAGTGTCGAAATACAACCAAGCAAAGCAGAACCCTCACCACGACTCTACGTGGGCAACTTTACAGACAAAGTAACTGAATATACCATCATGAAGCTATTTGAAGAATATGGCAAAATTGCTCGGATTGATTATCTATGGCATCAAGAAGGTCCAAAGCATGGAATGCCTCGTGGATATTGCTTTGTAGAGATGGATTCTGTCGAGGTAGTGTTGGATTGTAGTTTTTTAAAATAGTTGTATACAAATCCGAGTTTTATGCTTTGTTAGCATATCTAGTGTATCGTGAAACTAAACCATGTGTATGTTGACATGTGTATGGCTTCAAGGATGCAGGCCGAGCCTTGGCTGCTCTCAATCGCAAAGTGGTTGCTGGAAGACCACTTTCAGTAGCCTATTCTGCAGCCAAATCTGAAGTGCCAGAGAGTGATGGACTAACTGGCTGGCAACGACGAGCTGCAAAGGAGGCTCAGACAGCTGCGATTGCATCCGTCAATCAAAAACTACAAGTAAAGCCAAATATGGGTGGATCCATTGAAAGTAAAATCAAAACTCTCGAACGCAAACTAGCTCAAATTCAGCAAACAGTCAACTCGTCATCTATTTTAAATACCGAAGATGTGATTTCTCGGCCTGCCACATCAAGATACAAAACCATGCATGCGTCTAAACGGGATCACAGCTTTGAAATTGGACAGTATAGACAGCAATATGCAGAACGAACACACCAAAGCCGACAAAATGGACACGGGTGGAAAATGACTGGTCAGGAATTATCAAACACAGTCAACTCATCTCGGGGGAAGTCATCTCGGTATCACCCAATTTCTAGACCAAAATAAACTTGTTCTTTAAAACTATTGCTCAATATTAGTCCTGTATTTCTGGCAAAAGTGCCGAGTTAAAAAAAAGGAGATTCACGGGATTGAACCATGGACCATTCGATTTGCAGTCGAATGCTCTACCGCTGAGCTAAACCTCCATATTTTTTGAAATTTGTTTTATAAATATATTGTTGTATGTGTTTTGCAGTTTTGATCATCATAAACTTTTCTATTTTGCTGTCAAGGTTCAAAGGACACGTTGTTGATTAGTAGACTTGCTTAAAACTGACAACAGTCATATTCTTTGATATTGGTTGCTATGTATCTTGGTACACTTGGTGCTCCATTTACGTAAATACAACCATGCCGGTCAACATGGATTAGACTCAATTTGTATTTTATTGACTGTAAATATTTTTTTTTATTCAAATGAAATAGGATTGCGATATCAATCAGTAGACAATATAAATACACGGATTAATCACCATAAAGCACCATAATACCATCATACATGTTTTCAATCCAGCTAGTGATATTCAACAACAAACATGGCAGTAGCACGAATGTGGAGCTTTTTTGTTCAGGTCTTGAATCAATGTTGGTAACTACACGTAGTGCACTAGCAGCAGCAACAATCATCACGATTTGGATTACGGCAGTAACAAATCGACTTGCTCGACGCCATTTGGCTGCCATGGACTTGGATTTGGCAAGTACCTCGTTGTCATAGTGACCAAATGAAAGCACGACAGCAGCTAAACCACAACATCCATCCTCGGCCCCTGCAAGAAAATCTTCCTTTTTGCCATGACAGCTAAACAGGAAAAAATAAAATGCAATGATTGTATCAAGGCCAACAATAACCATGGCTAGCATGGCGATAACGGATGCGCATCCAAGTTCGCTTTCATTTGGTAATGTAGTTGGTAGTAACAATGAATAGGAAATAATTATTTCGTAGCGAGTGGGTTGCACATCACCGTCGTTTCAATAAAAATGTAGCAAATATTAGATCCACTCGTACTATATACTTCAAAAATTCTCATATGGCAACAAGTCATGTCCACTTACGTGTATATTGTCCAATCTTGACCCAGATCATCAAAGCATACCAGAGGTAATACTTGTCGTTGACAACCAGTTCCAGTTCCTCCGCGATACTGCAGAAAATACAAGTCCATGCCATGTTTGAGAAGTGGTAGAACATTGGTGCCCATAACAGTAAAATAAAAAACTCCACGATGGAGCAGAGTGATGCTAACCATGATGGGTTAGCTGACGCTTAATGTCCAATTTTCCAAGTTTCTTTTCAATGCAATGTGGCACTGCAGAGTACTATTTGGTAGAGGTTGATATATACCAAGTAAAGGTTTTAGATAGACTTTTGTATCAGTGTCATTTCAAGTAGATAAACAACTTACAAAAGCTGGCTTTAATGCACTTTTACAATGATAAAAGGAAGAGTTTGAAACTCGAGATTGAAGTCGGAGTTTTGCTCATCACATTCACCGCCATATTCACGTAAAATGAAAGACTAAATAAAAGTCAAAGTGTAATAAACAGTCATGAAATGATTGGTGTCAAATTTACTGGACAATACTGTATCCTCTAAACTTTCCACTTGACTGGTCTCCTGGTGACTGACGCAAAAACAGCCATTGCAGTCTTGTTTTCTTGAACTAAATCGTGAGTGTATCTGCAATTGTAAAGTTGTATTGACAGCAGTCAAACTCAACATCTAGATTGCAATGTATGAATCTAGTGATTGTACAATGTGTGATTATGCAAAACAGGACAACCTCGATTCAAAACTATAGTCTGTGCGCATCGTATAATGTACATTGTGTTTTGAAGAATTGAGAATGCCTATTAAAGTAGGAAAGCAAGCGAGTGTTTGACCATGTTTATTCCAAAACAATCGCTGCAGAATCAATGCAAGTATTATATTTTATGTGAATACAGTTGCAAGTGCTGATTTTTGTTATACTTGAGCTCATTAGAGAATATGAGTAGCTACAAGGTGTGTGTATTGAATATTAGAACTAGCAGTATTTAAGCAAATACCAAATGCATTCCTGGAACAAGCTACAAAATATCAAAATGTCGACAAAGTAAAGCCTTCGAGGTAGATGTACAAGTATTGTCTAGGTTTTCAACATTAGAGATTCCAGAAAGAATCTGCAATTCTTTCTCAAGAACAGGTTCAAAAACACAGACTCGAGAGTTTTCTAAAAGCTTGGTTGGCTCCAGTGTACGAAATGCAATCAGTCGTGACGATGAATCAGGGAGAGCAGATTCATCGGATGTATTCTGCGCTGGAGTACACACTGCAATGACAATATGTTCCATGCCGATTGGGTATGATAACTCGATCTTGTCGAGCACCCATTGATGATGATGAAATGCGTTGCCTAAATTAGTAAATTCAATACTTGAGTTGGACTAAATTACAGCTACATTCACAAATAAAAACCAAAGTGCATAATAAATAGCAAGTCTCATGGAATGATTGGTGTCAGATCTACTGGACAATATTGTGTCCTCTAAACTCTTTAATTGACTGGAATTTCTCATGATTAACATGGAAACAACTATTACAATCATTAGTTTCTTAAACTGAAACACAAGCGTATATGTGAAATTAGGATAGGGATGAGTTTGTGCAGAGTTTGATTAGCAACAATCAACCCCAATATCTGGGTTGTCTATTAAACAAGTCAATCTCTGATAGGAAAACACAACAGATTTAACCATTGCATATTTCAAAACAATCACTGCAAGATAAACAGGTGTTCCATTTCCAACATTATTGAATCTACTCAATACCTCGAACAGACATTTCCGATAATCGACGCTTGAATCGATCAGAGAAGGTGCCCAAAGAACCAGATGCTCTATTTAAAATGAGTTAGCAGATATTCCAGCCTTGAAGATTGCTGTAATGGAAATCAGACGACTTTATACCCGACTTACAAATATTGTTCATGAGCCGAAATGCCATATTTTGATAAACCTATTGCTGGAATGTCTTTTGGAGGTGGAATACGGAGCTTCTTGGCAAACTTGGAGAGAGGCGAGGTGGAAGAATGTATAATGAATCTCTTGAAAGATGTCTTGCTAGGTACGGATTGCTGAGTTTCAAGATGATCACTTTGAAAGGTATTTGACTCTTGTTCTTCTGATTGAATGATATCATCGCCAGATACATCAGTCTGTCGAGATGACTGGGTTTTTGGTATTATGAATCTGTTCATCAATGAGAGAGTCCAGCCAGCTATTGGAAACTGGGCTTGGCGAGGCCAGGAATTTTATATTTATAGCCGTATTCACGTAAATGAAATACTTTTCTGTAGTCGTTTTGCGATCAAGAAGTTCAAGACACAATGTTGTCCATCAAGTTTCATATAAATCGACATTCATCTTTTGATGAGATCATTATGTATTTTGGCACTTTTATTTGTTTCATTGCATGAATACAATAAATTCAATATGTAATACAAAAGAATATATACATAAAACGAATTTCAAAAAATATGGAGGTTTAGCTCAGCGGTAGAGCATTCGACTGCAAATCGAATGGTCCATGGTTCAATCCCGTGAATCTCCTTTTTTTTATTTTTAAACAATATTGATGATGGCAGTGTTGTCATGTTATACTGCAGTCGTATATAGAGTATGGTTGAAAGTAATATATTAGGTTCTATAAAAACGAAAAATAGCAAGATAAATGCCATATCCAAGAGCAAAAGTCCAGTAGGCTAGTGCAGACAGTACACCCACAAGATAATTCGAAACCAAATTAACCCACACCATCCCTAGTAAAACATTTGATCCGCTATAGAGTCCATCCTGACCACCACCCCATCCAAAAAACCCAGAAGTAGGAATCACGCCAGGGGGAACATGACCGGCCTGTATCTGTGCAATTGGATCAAACCCAAGCATAATACCTAGCAGAATAAACAGGGCAACAGTAGAAAATGTCGCATACGAACCAAACACAATTACAATCGCAGGATGAAACGTTCTTCTCATTGCAGTTCGGAATACTCTTCCTGCATCAACGCTATCACCTGATTGTCCAGTGATAGAATCGCGTTTACCTTGCAGTTGAACACGGAGCATTGTGAAATGCATTGGAAGATTTAGTAGTGTATTGGTTGTGAGTGTGATGATTGGGGAGGGTACAACCACTGCAAGCATAAGTTGTAGTTGTCTGTCTGCAGATAGCAATCGAAGACCAGAATACACAAGAATTTGATAGAGCAGCAAAGCGTTGGTTAAAATGTCAAAGAGAAGTAGCATGGCTTTAATCACAACTAATATGCCTAAAATAGGATTTTTTTTGACAAACGTGGTCACTCGCCATAGTCGAATGGTATGAAACATTACGGTGTAAAATAAGGCGATGCCGAATAGCACAAGCAGGATTAAACTACTGTTTTGAGGATTGGTAAAATCTGAAAACTGATATTGTGTTTGTGCTAAACAATAGTATTAGCTATTTCAATTTGAATAAAATATGATGCACCAATAGATATAGCAGCCACTCACTAATCGAGTTACGTGCGTTTGGATTTGCAACAATCTCTGTTAGTCGGTATCCATAGACTTTAAGAACCACGTTGGCCTATATTCGGTCAAGCCAGTGATTAATGCGCATTGTGGTCATTGGTAAAGACTTGTCAACAATACTCAAAGGATTAAAAAATGTACGAGATTTCAATTGATTGTTTTACCAAAATAGGAAGTACATCAATAATAAGATCGTGGTCTGCAACGAGTGCCCATGGAGACCATGTTTTTTCAAGCTAAATTTACACATCAATTGGCAACAATTAGTAGACATTAAATTTGCATTGCATTGATGCTCTATCATTTTGCACTCGTATCTTACCGGATCCCAATGACGTACATCCCAACAAAACCACAATGTTTTTGGAAATGCTCTTAGAGCAGCAACAAGTATGTCCACAATCACAAAAACAATCGAGGCAGCCCAAAAACCAACAGCGTGTAGCTCTATCATATAGGGATTCTGTAAGGCCATGATTGCTGTATGGAGTGAATACCCAGCCGTGCACAAAGATCGCAAAAAATTAAACCACCGAAAAATCTTTAGTATCTTTTGTGACAATGGTAATGTATCCTTGATCTCGCTGGTAGTGAGTTCCAAAGACGATTGTTTTGGTTTTATGAATGATGAAAGCTCAAGTAGATCGTTATGCTTGCCCGTTCCTGGAATGTGATCTACTCCTAAAATAGCATCAAAGTCTTCATCATGAAGAGTTGTTGTTGATAGTGCATTTTGTGCGTTTGTTCCAGACTGTCCAATAGGAATGGGGTCCGCTTCACTCACTTGAATTTTCATATCTTGTTTTGTAATCGCGCAATGTTTGGGAAATGTTGGTTCACGCTCTACTTTGCTCTCTGGATCTGTAGCAGTTTTAATCAAGTTTGTTTGTGACTGATTTAAAGTTTGTTTTATAGGATCAACGGAAACCAGGATGGTTTTAGCAGTAGGTGGATTCGGCATGCTTTTTTGCCGTGGGATACTGGGCTGTTGTGCTTCTCTATGCATGTTTTTGAATGAAATGGTTTGAGCTAGTGGCGGGTGAGAAATGACGCGAGCTGAATGACAGTCTTGTAGAGTTTCTCTAGAAGACTCAATCATACGATCTGGTATAATTTGATCCTGAATATTTTGATTGTATACAGTGCAATTAGGAGCGGTAACGCGCATCACACTTTGTTTGAGTACGTTCTGATTCATTTCAGCAATTGGTTGCATAGATCTAGTCTGTGATGTCGGTGTAATAACATTGAATCTATCTGATGCAGATGCACCCATAGTTTTACCGACTGCTTGCAAGTCACGCACATAAAAGTCTGACATAGATTTTTGTATGGCATCTCTTTTTTCTTGTTCACGTCGAGCTTTTTCCTTCATGTAAAACTCGAGAGTTACCCACGAATCGCCATACGCTATCCATTCTTGCTGTCCAGCTTGGCTAGACTGTGTGGCGTATGGTTGTGCAATTAAAGGTTCTGCAATGGCTTTACCTGTTATAGGTTGCAAAGATACCATAATTTTATCCTTCTTGTCTGCTCTCAAATAGGCTTGAGTGGATGATGAGGCATTGTTGCGAGGTTCAACCATCAGTTGCGATTGATTTAGAATAGTGCAATCGCGCTCAGTAGCTGAGTAAAACACAGTTCCATTTTGTGCAGTATCATCAATCGGTCCAGGTCTTGGTTTACAAGACTCGATGGAAATTGATGTAGTTGGATGCGAATGAATGGTATGCTGTCCAGCAGGACCAGTTTGTACCACAGGCATCCTTTCCGTATAAACTTTTATCTTGTTATGGATCTGCACAGTATTCGTTGTGCTAGTTTTGATCACATTTTTTTGAACTGTTTCTTGATGTGGTGGTTCAGGTAGATTTTGTTTCGAGTGAGCATGGAGCTCCAATAATGCTTGGGTTTGTAGCGCCTGTGTTTTGACGATTCCTTCCAAAAGTTCAATACGTTTTTCAAGTCCTTCAGTATCTATATTTCCATGTAGTGTTTCTTTTATGTATTCTTTGGCTAGAATTTGTTCTGGGTTGGGAACTTCGATGATAGAATCAAGTTTGGAGATATCTGCTAATGGAGATTGAAGCGTACCCCAAAACTGAAAACTGTTGAATTCTGGCTTTGCAAAAGTGGACTGGACCGATTGAGTGCGTTTTCTGGAAACAGTTTGTGTTTGGCCAATTTTTTGCAGAGTTGGATGAAGCATAACCTCGATATTAGCTAGCTGATCATGGATGGATTGTTCAGCTGCTGTTGTGTGTCTGGTAGTTTGGGGCTGGTTAGAATTGGATACACTTGAAATATCATTGGATAATTCTCTTGCACGGCGGAGTCTAAGTGTATTAAAAGCAGACATGTATTCATTTTGACTTTTGGATATATCGGTCATAGCAGATGGTCCATTGCTTAATTGTCCAGAGCTATCGAGGTTGCCATTCAACGCGTTTACGGCAGCTGCATCTACTGATACCTCATTCTCGTTTATTGTACTGACGATCCGGCTGTTTGAACTGGATAATATGTGCTCTTGAACGGCTCTCGCTAATAGTTGAACACGTTTCTGCATGCAGACAAAGTCTGGCTCGTCCATTCCAGTAGCTTTTTTGTCACTTGCAGAATGAACACTTTGGTCAGACATGCCTGAATAGATGGTATGGTCAATCAAAGAATACTACAAAACAGCGTTTGGCTTATTAAATGTGGCTTTAGTTTTGGGTTATCAGTGATGGGCTGATTTATGTTGTTTGATTCAAAGCCACACAAGGCACGACAAGGGCCAAAGTAACATTTCAAATAGCATTTTTCCATTAAAACATTAGACTGCCAAAAATTATGATCAAGCTTGTCAAGTAGCATTGTAACTGAATTATAACTCCGACAAGATGATGAACAGGCATTTGATTTACACTTCTTTTTCATATTGTTCAATCTTTATTTGAAAATAAAGGTTAGACTTGTGTTACTGGCATTCTAAAGTTTGGAATCAAACATGCTTTTGTCTATTCAGTTGTATCGGTTAAAAATGCAAAAGAATTCAAATGAGCAATGGATTGAGTGCATGGGCTTGCTTCATCTTGTGTCTCGTGTATACATTCAATGAGACTTTGAGCATCATTTGCTTTGGATAGATCACCATTCCTGGTACCTTTTGAACCAGAGGCATTTGATACTGATGTATGATGAAGCTTCTGCCAATTCTGAAAATCCAGATTTATATGCATGGACGAAAAGTTGGATGGGCGATAAACAAGAAGCAACTTTCCATAATTGACCATACCAAGTAGCATGCTGGCAGCGCGGTGTACATCGGGTCTTGCAGTTTTTGAAGTCAGGAATCCTCGTTGAATAGCAAATGCTTCACAGATTGTCCAACCACTCCAGAGAAACGTTGCTTGAGATTGAGCTAAAGTTTTGTTGATGCTCTTGTCAAAAGTGGCATATGCAGGTGGTTTCAAGTGCAAAATGTCCGGAATGGGGATTCGCTCAGCCAGATATGATATGACGGAACAGGGCTCTCGAACTTGTGCAATTCGATACATTCCTGCTAGAATCTAAAATATTCAATAAATTTAAACTTTCAATATCAAAATAGATTACTTTTGCCCATTAAAAGGCACAGAGATGTGTGCAATCAAGGGCCATCTCACCTGAGCAGGTTTAGATATCTTTAGCGGAAACACTATTCCAGGACAATCACACAAACGGATCCGTTTGCTTAGGTGTAGTGTCTGAAAATGCTTAGTATGTCCTGGTGTTTTTGACGTCGGTACTACCGTGCGACCCATTATACCATTAATCAAGGACGATTTTCCTACGTTTCTAATGTTTCATACAAACAATTCAACCGGTACCAGTCAAAAGTGTTAATTTAATGGTAACCCAAAACAACAAGAGCTCAATTTGAATAAAGTTGCACACAACTACTTACGGATGGCCAACCAATCCAATCGTAATCAAATCGGCTCGAGAAGTAATACTTTCTGAAATACTTTGATTCTCCTGACCCAAATCTAGCTGAAATGATTCTTTGCTTTTACTAGCATCATTCTCAATATCTGTATCTTGGATGCAAGTAATAGATACACTTTTAGGAACTTGCTGTCTTCGTCTCGATCGCCCCAAAAAGCTTTCTGTACATTCTTTGCGTTCAATAACATCGCTTGCCTGCTTTTCCCGTTTATTAATATCTTTTTGCATTTGATCCATCAACTCTGCCCAATTAATTTCAATTCCGTTTTTGTCAAATTTGACTTTGCTACATTCCTCAATGATTTGAAGTGCACCAACTGCATGTGCGTATCGTTTCGACTTTGGCTGCTTTCCTTTTATTAGAGTACCTTGCATTGAGTCTGTAAATAAATTTAGCTTCCAATTAATATCATCACGACATGGAAAGATTCATTTCCAAAACCAGTGAGTACAGTTGTTGGCTGTAAATGGCTAGGTATAGTAAAACTTTACCTTGAACATTAAACACATCACGAGAGTAGCAGCTAAACTCTACAATGTGGATACCAGAGTACCGATTCTGAAAGTATTCTTTCCATGCAGCCAATATTGGTGCAGGTACTAGATCAATCTAATATTTGTTGCAGACATGACAATGTCAAAGCTATACACATTAGATATTTTTACATGTATTTTCCAGATTATACAAGTGATGTACCTTGTTGAACACCAATATAAGAGTACGCTTCATTTCCACTACGATATAGTTGTACAGGGTTGGTGGGAAATGTAGAATGGGATGTCGTGAATCTACAATAAAAAGGATAATGTCGCTAAAACAGTCTATATACGTCAGTCGACTTTTGAACGCGATCACCTGCATGAAATCATGATGGTATTCAAATCAAAACTACTTACGATACTTCTACTACTCGCCATAATTGTCTCCATACCTGATTCCAGTATAAAACAACGGATTATGAATTTAAATTGGGGTTTCAAAATATCGTTGCATTAGAGTTATACAGATTAGATTGTATGAGAAACACACCTCAAGATTCTGTTCAAAGTATCCCAAGCTGTCTGGATCAAATCTACGATTAACCCCATCAAGCCACCATTTGAAGTATTCAGATTCACGCTTTTCTAGTGTTTCTTTCGAGTCGCTATGATTCCAATGTGGCCGCTTAGGAAAGTCGATCATATCGCCTGACGGATAGAGATCTTCAAACCCAATTTCCAGTACAGTCTGAATCAATCAAAATACAATGGTTTAGTGCTATTGAAATGTTGATGGCATAGGATAAAAATAGACTACCTGCGGCAATGGAGTGATTGGAGATTGAGAAGCCAATCGCATTGCTTGAATGGCATCTAGCTCGACCTTGGCAAACACGGATTCGAAATGACTTGCTTTGGAGCTATAAGGAATCCTAAAATGGATTAGTGATGATCATGTATAGGCCTAGACTTGACAAGGGTTGGTGTAACTCACCGACTGTCAGTAGACGATATGCATGGAGTTATTTTTGTTCGAGTTTGCTCTTGATGGACATGAGATGCATTACGACCCGAACTATTGCGAGCAGGACTATGACAATGAGCAGCGCTCCTAGCATCGACCGACTCAATCTCCTTTGATTCTTGTATTGATTCGCTCGACTCTTTTTGCAGGTGTTCTTGTCTGCTCGTAACTCTGCAACAATAGATGCTGCTGTGGGCAGAGACTGGTGGATGCGAGACAGTCCCAGCCGTCTGTGTCGGTATGCATCCATGCGAGTCTTGTCGAGACTGCTGCAATGGGTGTCCTTCACTGTTTCTTCCATCACTGTAATCAGTGGATCTATCCGGCTCTCTCTCTCTCTCCTTCTGTTCCTCATTGTATGTGTCATCTCTATCCACACGGTTTAAAAGTGTATCTTTGCACACACCACAAGTATCTGATACTGGAGTGTTTGAAACTGCTACCTTGTCCCGTTTACGCTGTCGTTTATCTTGCAGCTGAGCCTTTTTCTTTTTAGCAGAGAATGGTATGGCTCTTGCTGCTTGGTGCATTCCAAGATATACTCGATAAAACGACCGTTTTTATCAACCGTCTTTGTAGTAATGGCAAGTGATTTTGATTACTGTTTATTGGCTAAACTCGAACAGCTTCCATCAAACTTGGCCAATTCTAGCTTCATCTCATCCTACACAGTCCAATCGAATCACCCATATTTGCTTCATTTGATATAAGCAAATTGCTTGGTTGGAGCAGCAAAAAATGATGGTGGTTTGGATTGAAGATCATTTGAATTGGCAGATAAAAGGATATTCTGTTGAAAGTTTAAATATATAAAGGGTAACTTGGAATCAAAGTTTCAATATTATCAGCAACAGGTTGATGCATGATAAGGAATCACGTACGCAAAGGATTTTGTTCAAAACAGCCGCCTGGGTGTATAGTATATACTTATATACAGGATCGGAAGGGAATCGATAAGTTGAAGTACTGAAACGAAAGGATAGCAGTCTCTAATTAAAATTAGGGTTTGGCATCCGCTGAGGGTGGTGAATAGTGGAGTGGTTGGGGTATCGATTCAAACCATGGGTGACACAGAATCTGATCGGCAGTCGGCCGTTGCGATGCATGCTTTTGAAGCATCCATCCTAAAAGATCCATACACTTTGGGGACGATGGAAATCTTGGCGGCTTGTATGCGCAGGACTTGGCTTGCTCACTGGATGCAAACGGAACCTCTCCATACAGAATGGTATACTGTCGTAAACATACATAGATTTAGAGTCGACGAGTAAATTGCGTCAGTAAACAAGATACGTTGTAAATCTTCAACCAACTATTAGCTTACCAAAAGGATTCCTAATGCCCATACGTCAGTTGGCTTTCCTCGATACTTTTCTCCTCGTAAAATCTCAGGACTAGCATATTGAATGGTTCCCTGAAATCGATCAAATAAAAAGTTTGGATCGCTGGATTCCACAGCTGCAGACCCAAAATCAATGATTTTGACATGGAAACTGCCATCAATGACAATATTCTCATCCTTGATATCTCGATGAACAACTCCTTTGCAATGAAGATACCGTATTGCTTGAACCACTTGAAAAAATATACCTTTGGCGCTTTCTTCTGGAATTCTATCATATTGCTCAATGCACCTACAATGAAAATGCATCAGTAAATATAAATAAAGGTACAACAATGTGAAAAAACACGCTTGGAATTATTTGTAAATTAAAGTAATGATTGCATTTGGATAGTAGAAATCAAGCAAGTTTGTCAAGACGGTTAAACTTACTCAAAAAGATCCATTGATGGTCTGCGAGCAAGTTTTGCTGGAAAGGGGCAAGTAACGGATCTTTGAAATATAGGTTGCTTTAAATCCAAAGTGCTGTTGTTAGGTGTGACGTATGGAGAATGAAGAACAGGCTCAGCCGATACAGGAAAAACAGGCTACAGTATGTTTAACACATCATGTTAGTAACTAGACTTTAATAGATAGACTCGGTTATGTGCATAATGCATGACTAATCATATGTGCCACACTTGAAGATTGGTGCTTTGGCTTCATAATCAAGTTTTTTGCCAACAATGTTGATGTTGCATTGAATATGTAATTGAGATACCAAATTCAAATCATATTTAATGTATAATTTGAGCCTTTTAAAAAAGCACACAAAACAGCTCAACTCAACTTACCACTTGTGCCACACTGGATTGAGTTAGTCTTGATTGAATTTGATCTTTTGATGCCACCCATTGCGATCCATGTAGCTCAGTGACAAAGTATACAAACTTGTGGTCCGAATATACTGCGACATACGAAATGATGTTTGTGTGGCGACAATGGCGAAGAAAATAAACCTCTATTGGAATCACACCTAATTGAGGATCTCGTACCCATCCATCCGAGGCTACGCGAGATTTGAGAATAAACTTGGCTGCTACTTCTTTTCCTGTATGGCGATCCAATGCGCCTAAAACAAACCCAAAACCGCCTGATCCAAGTTCAGAAATAAGCTCAAATCGGTCGGCAAACTCTTTAAGAAGCGTATGTCCTGCTAGTTGCTTTTCTGCCATTGAAGGCTGGGTTTGATTATCCTGCACCTGTGCCGAAATGGAACTTGCTTTTTCGGGAGTAGCTCTATATAATGTACCGGATTTAGGTAGTGGAGGTATGGGGACAGATGGCATCTGTGAAAAACAGTGATAAGTGTGAGCAAATTCAGTTGATGGATAGGACACAGTGCGTGCCAAAGAAGTTGGCATGATTAGGATTAGGTATGGCAGTAGAAAATAATGGTTTGAGATTTGAGAAAGACAACGAGTATAGTTGTATTGTCCTGATTTATACAGTTTCAGTGTTTACATGTGACTATTTTGAGCATTGTAGAGTAAGCAAATCAATGCTAACATGACTCGGATTGATCAAAACAAAGAATTCCATTTCGGCAACAAAGTCCAGCTATTTTTGTTTTTTGGAACTGTTGCTGTGCACTGATTAAAATTCAGCCGAAATGAGTATATTTGGTGATGAAAAGACTGCTTATCACAGGTCAAAGCAGCCCTTGCGAGGCGCGCATTGGACTTTAAAATACATGATTAAACAATCATGACATATAGTTGTGTAACGTACGCAAAATTTGGTTGAATAGTACAACTGAATTAATCAAAGTAGAGTAAATGAAATCTAAACTCAAGGAAATATAGATGCCATTTGAAAACGATAGTCTTGTAGTTTGTATATTTCAAGGTCACGTTGATTAAAGAGACACTTGAAGAATAAAGACTTCAAGATTGGTAAAAGGGATGCAAACTACTCGAGTATAAAATAAGAGTAGATATAATTACCTGGTGTTTCAAGTAGACCGAGTGACTCGGCTTACCCTGTGATAAAGAATGAGTCAGTTGTGGACGGTTGACAGTAGTAGATTTGGTTGATAGATTCGGTTGTGAATAAGAAGTTTGTTCATGCTGTTTGAGCATTGGCTGATGATATTTTAATAAAGGTTGCAATTGTAGATGTTCTTGTGATGAATAGATAAGTGGCTTGTGCATGGGCTGGGTGGCAGCCAGGGTAACGTCTAGTGCCACTGACGCGTCGGTCGCGTCTGACTGATTCAATGCACAGTGTTTGTCGGAAGAAAGTTCATGTGGTGATGATGTTGTAATCGATGGGTTAATATGTTCTGTTGCTTTCGATACAGCCTTGATGTTATGGATCGGTTGCAGCACTGAAAAAGCTTTTTTCAAGTTTTCATGGTTTACAACAACTGCTGAATCTGGCGTTTTTTCCAATGTATCAATATCAACTATGCTGAAATTGGCTTCATCGTTTGTTGATAGTGCTTTGGTCATGTCTTTTCTTTGAGTACTGTAGAGCTTTCCATTGCTGCTGTTTTCTTCTACGACTGACTTTTCCAGGAGTGGAGCAAGTGTTGTTTTCATTAGGCTAGATCGTTGAGTATATGAAGTTGGCATCGGAACAGTAAGTTTCATGCATAATGGTTTTTTTCTATAGTTGCTACTGATCTGATTTGGTTCTTCCTCATTGACTTGAGATGCTTTGGTTGCTGCAAGTGTAGCACGTGAAATAGAGTTGCTAAATCTGATGCTCGAATTTACCTTGCTACAGTAATTGGAGTTGGCATGAGTTTCAATACGGTCTGTGTTCAGATCTAACTGGCAAGATATGTGGTTATGATCAGATTGTGTCGATAGTCCAGTTTTGCAAAAAAGAGTTGAGCATGCTTGTCCAGGTGTTCCAGCTAGTGGCGACATGTTGATCTGGTTAATAGGCGACTGAATCTTACAAAGGTCAATATTTGGTGTGTTGAAAACACAAGTAGACTGACAGAGCGTGAGACTGCTTACTATTTACGGCTCGAGTTTCGTTAAACCAATTTTTGGCTGACTTTGTGACAACAGCGATAGAGTTCTTTATCGAGTTTTACTAACCCTACAATATACGTATAAATGAGTCGCTTAATGAAAACACATCGAGTCCTCTTTCACATAACTCTTATCTGGAATAAGAGTTGGAAAAATGAATTAAAGTACTTTTAAAATAAACCCCAGTCACTTACTCGAGTTGTACAACCTGAATCTGAGTGGAATAGAATTCAGCCCTTTTAATTAAAAAAGATGAACGATGCAGCAATAAATAGCGGAATTTGGATAAATTGACCGCACTCTAGAACAAGAAAGTTTAATGGTATGCGAAAATAGTATCTGAAAACGACGTCACTAACCAAATTGCAATATGAGCAAATTAGCCAGCGGTTCAAACGGAAGATTTGAATCTGTGCTTGGATCTCGGAGGCGCAATACTGATTTTAAAGTCAAAGCAAATAACAAATGTGATGGATTGAGAATTACAGCCGCATTACGGAAATAAAACGCCAAATAAGGATACCAAAGTACATAATAAATAGTCAATCTCATGAAATGATTGGTACCAAACTTACAGCAGATTTATTGAACATTGTCTTCTAAACAAATGCTCAAGCAGCATTCACGTCTTTGTTCCAGCAATCTCATTCCTGACTTGTCAATCTCCAGCTCTCTTTTACAAACCAAATGTTGCGTGGTCAGTATAGAAACAGCACTTGGTGACTGTACAATGTAAGAACATGCCAAACGAGGACAATCTCAATTTAAAACTATAGTTTGATTGCATGAGCATCATATGATGAACATTGTGTTTATATTGGAAAATTGGCAATGTTTATCAAAGCCGGTTTTAGCAACTGCAACAAATATTAATCATTATTTATTCCGGAATCGCTTCAAGTGTTCTGTTTTGCGTGAATACAACTGTAATCTATAGCATGTCTGCGACACCTTCCAAACCAATTGAGCAAGAGTTTCCATTCCCATATCAGCCATGGGATATCCAAACTAAATTCATGCAGAGGTCAGAGCTCATGATAGTATTGTGTTTTGAATGGAATCAGTCATCTGCAAGAGTATAGGCGATTAGAGTCAGCTCATCCAAGCTGCGTTGCTACTTAAAGATTGCTCCTTATAGTTGTTTTCATGAAGATCACTGACTTGGTATTAAATAGTTTGTACAAAACACTGGATAACAATCATGTAGGAATCTATGAATCGCCCACAGGAACCGTAAGTGTATGGTCATCAAATGTACTTTTACAGCCATACTCATGTAAAACAGAGCCTTTGTATTCATCTTGCAGTCACTGCTTCTATTCTGATTCAGAATAAATAATGGTTCAGTATTCGTTGTACTTTTCTATTGGGAATTGGCTTTATTACCATTCTCAATTCTTTCAAACGACGACCATTGTATAGTACAATCAAATTATAGTTTTAAACTGGAATGATTTTTTGGTATAACCATACGTTGTACATCCACCAGATTTATTCATTGCAATCCAGATATTGGGTTCAACTGCTATCAAACTCTTTGTGTATTCTAAATCAGATATATTCGCGATCTAGTTCAGAAGAACAAAGAATGCAACTGTTGTTTCCATGCCAATCACCAGGAGACCAACCAACTAAAACACTTGGATGGCACAGTGTTGTCTATTAAACTCCTTAGCAATCATGGCATGAAACTGTTTATTATACTCTGACTCCTATTTAGCGTTCCATTTTACGTGAATACAGTAATGATTAGAATGGTTTATCAATACGAATATGCTAACGAGTTGAATATGCTAGGGAAAGTCACTGAGCATCATCTGTAGTGCGCTTAAATGGCTTAAAGACCGACAAACTGTAACCATTAATGACCTTCTTGCTGAGCAAGATGATCAGCATCTACTTGACAAAAGCATTAAAGGTATAATGATACAATACATCGAGGCTAACAATGACTAAATATGCTGTCAATAGTTTATTATTTACCGCATCATATTTGCTACATTTAGATGAGCCAGATTGGGTTATTGCCCATGATCGGGAACGAAGACGAAATGAGATTGCAGACATGATTGAAAAGCAGAAACATGCCAGAGAACAACGGGAGATTCGACTGCAACAAATCAGAAATCGCGAGTCTATAGAATCTACCCGATCTACCTTCAAGGTATGTTCATGGTTGCTATTACTACAATTGCTTTATTGAATCATTGCAATAGTATATCAGTCACATAACTATATTTATTGAATACAACAGCGAAAAGCAGAGTCCAATTTATCAGATTTAGGCTTGCAAGAAAAAGAAAACTTTCTTGTTGAAGAGTATGATAGTGACGAAAATAGTCCATCGTCCAACTCACTAAACCAGCCATGGTCAGTTTATCTCAATCTGTTGTTGTTTTGTTTACACCTTGAACAATCGTGCAAAACTGACATGCGAGTATAGGTCTTTACAGTATATTGAAAAAGAGGAAGATTTAAACAAGGATCTAGATGAAATTTTCGAGATTCAGATTATTTATTGTGCCAGAACAGTAAGTTCAATTGATTGTTTCCATTGTAGTATTTTTAAAAACTAATCATGTCTTAATTACACCATGAAACACCATCCATAAGCATTCTCAAATTGCACAGTTTGTAAACGAAATCAAGAAAACAGCGTATGGAAATATCAAATGTGTTACACTTGGGTCTCGTAAAAATCTCTGTATTAATCAGAGTGTGACAAGACTACAATCACTGCATAGAATTAACGACAAATGCCTGGATTTACAAAAAGGTATTTTTAAGCCCAGTTTATTTGCTACATGATGTTTTTTAGCCCACTACAAACGTAATTTGCGTTTATTAATGTAAATTTATAAAGCAAAAACATCTGCAGATAAATCGTCCAAATCATCTGGCGGATGTCCCTACCTTACCGAGGATCCAGTGCAAATGGTTACTTTTGATGACACTATCCACGTAAGCGACACAGAGTTTTATTCATTGTGTTGTTTTTAGACTCGACATCAATGTAACCTTCAATTTAGGCGCGTATTCGTGATATCGAAGAAATTGTTCAAGCAGGAAGAAAGAGTGCTACTTGTCCATACTATGGTGCTCGGCATACAGCCAAATCATCCGAGGTAATTGCATTTAGATGAAAAAATACTTTTCAGTGTAACACTTATAAACTGTATATCTAGATCATTTGTATACCGTACAACTTGCTACTTCAACGATCGACAAGAGAATCAATAGGACTTCGCCTTAAAAACAATATTATTATACTAGGCAAGTATACACTTTTTTGCCTGTTAGGTTTGAGTGGAATTTGCTGTTTATGATGTTTAATCTAATGACTTTTAGTTGATTTTTATTTAACCGTGGAAATTATTACAGATGAAGCGCACAACATTATTGAGTCTGTAAATTCATTATACAGTCACACCATCTCTCTTGATCAAATACTCGATTGCAAGACTCATCTTTCTAAATATTTTGAAAGGTATAAAAACAGACTGGCTGGTCGCAACATGGTTTATGTCAAACAATTACTTGTTCTACTTGGTGCGTTTGAACAACTATTTGCAAAACTATCGCCTACAAAATTTGACCATGCATTGCATTGCAAAAGTCAAGACACGCCCTATAGTGCAGCAAAGTCAGCACAAGAGTCTAATCATGCCATGTCTGTAAGCGAGTTTGTGGACAAGGCTGGAATTGATCATTTCAATCTCTTTAAAATTCTCACTTATCTTGAAAACAGTCGTTTACCATTTAAAGTGAGTTTTACTTGTACTTTTTATAATTCTGCAGAAAGCCATCAAGTTTATAGAAATTGCGAATTCGGTCTACTTATATTGTTTGACATACTTAGCTTTTGGGATTTGCTGTTTCAGAAACTCGTAAAGAAAATAGCGAGACTGCCAATTTTATTCCTACAAGTGTATCTCCGCTGTCATTTATGCAGTCGTTTTTGGCATCATTAACCGATCCCGATGTAAATGGACGTATTGTATACAACTACAGCACAGGTATATTAACAATACGAGTCAAAATAAAGAATCTGAGCATTGTAATGGATAATATATTTTATTTTTGTGGCTAACCGTTGCATTTTGGATTAGATCCACACCACTGCGTGTTTAAATATCTGTTGCTAAATCCAGCCGATTGCTTTGCACCTATTTTGAAGCAAGCTCGATCTGTGGTATTTACTGGCGGAACAATGTCTCCTATCCATGATTTCATTGAGCAGCTGCTTCCTTCTGTTCAACATGATCGACTTGATGTTTTTTCTTGTGGACATGTCATCAATTCTACGTCATTGCTGCCTATATGTGTCTCGCAAGGACCAACTGGATTGGATTTCAATTTTTCTCATGAGAAGCGAGTTGACACAAACATGGTAAACTAAATCTACAACTATTACGTTTATATCACATTTAAAGTCAATCTCAACACTAATGCATTTGTATTTTGCATATTTTACTATTGGTGTGCATTTTAGATGGACGAGGCAGGTGCAGCTATAGCCAATTACAGTAATGTGATTTCGGGCGGTATTGTCGTGTTTTTTGTTTCGTATTCTTATTTGGACGCCATAGTAAAGCAGTGGAAATCAGGTGGTATATGGACCCGAATATCCAAAAAAAAGAAGGTGGGTTGACTGAATCATTAGTGTGGTATCTTGTCAATATGTAAATGTGATGGACTGATATTTTCAATTGTTGGCGATTGGTTCGCTGAACAGATCTTCATTGAGCCCACATCTGTTGGTGAGGTTGATAAAGTGCTGCAAGATTACTCTAGCACTATTAGTAGATCTCGTCAGACAGATTTCAGCACATCAACACTCACCGGATCTATGCTTTTGGCTGTGGTATCAGGAAAGCTAAGCGAAGGAATCAACTTTGCTGATGATATGGGACGGTAAGTGGTTGTATTTATTGCATTAGTACAGTCTGCAAATGTTTGTTGATTTCTGGGTTTATTTATTTCAATATATGCACTATATATGGATACATAGAGCAGTGATTATGGTTGGAATTCCATTTGCCAATATTGCTTCAATAGAACTGCAAGAACGGATGCGCTTTTTTGATGTGCAGGTAAATGTTTTGTACAAAGTGTAGTTTGTATTGCTTTGATTGGAGATATTATTGATTTGCATGATTTAACACGCATAGGCAAAAGAAACTGGATCGGGCATTACTGGTAAAGAGTACTACGAAAACATTTGTATGCGTGCAGTCAATCAGTCTGTAGGCAAGTTTATATGATGTGGTACTATACTTGACTATTTAATAACATTGCAGGCGTATTGTGCTTTGTAACAGGTCGCGCAATCAGGCACAAGAATGACTATGCAGTCATTATATTTCTAGACATGCGGTTCAAGCGAGACCGTATTGTAGCTAAATTGCCGGAATGGATCCGTAATTGTGGTTTGACATTCCCGAATCAGTTTGGGCCATCTATTGCCATGATTAGCAAGGTATGAGCCATATTTTTGACTGCGTTTATCAGATGTGTTTGGTATTCTGACTATTTTATTCTCCATCACTAGTTTTTCAATTCACATAGAAAGCCCACCAACAAAAAAGAATAGCCATTTGAATTTACCATTGTATTCATGTAAAACGAAATAATTGGTTTGGAATGGCCGAGTATTCGTTGTACTTTCAATTCTTTCAAACAACGACTATTTTATAATGCAAACTATAAGTTTAAACTGGATTGTTTGGTACAATTCTACACTGCACAATCACCCAATTCGACTACAATCCAAATGTTGGGTTCAACTGCCATCAAACTCCTGTATTCTAATATCAGATACGTTATAGTTCAAGAAAACAAAGAATGCAACTGTTGGTTTGATATCAATCACTAAAAGAACAGAACTTGGATTAGTAAATTTGGTAAAAATTATCATTTCGTGAGACCGATTTATTCTATGATTTTTTTTCCACTTTACGTGAATACGACAACACATTACGCCAATTGAGCCGATTGAAGGTCTTGAACACTTGCTGATAATTTAAACTAAAATGTCTTTCTTGAGCAGCTCCTACACCCAGCGCATTGCCAACCATTCCAATCCTGCAGCAAAGCGTCTGCTTTTTCTTATGGACTCGAAGCAGACCAATCTTTCGATTGCAGCAGATGTGTCTACAAAAGCCGAACTCTTGCATATTGCAGACACTCTTGGTCCATACATTTGCATTCTCAAAACACATATTGATATTGTCTCCGACTTTGATCAGGACCTCATTGTCCAGCTTGTCGCTCTGTCGAAAAAGCACTCGTTTATGATTTTTGAAGATCGCAAGTTTGCAGATATTGGCAATACTGTCAAGCTGCAGTATTCCAAAGGGATTTACCATATTGCTGATTGGGCTGATATCACCAATGCTCATCCATTACCTGGAGAGGGAGTTGTGCATGGATTAAAAGAAGTTGGACTTGGACTGGCTGATGAGACCAATGGAGTGACAAGAGGTTTGTTGCTGATTGCTGAAATGTCATCCAAGGGATCGCTGGCTACTGGCTTGTATTCGGATGCTGCAGTGCAAATGGCTTGCAGACACAGAGACTTTGTGTTTGGTTTTATTGGCCAGAATAGACTTGGATATCACAAGGAATCTACATCGAGTTGTCTAGATGACTTTATCTACATGACACCTGGAGTTGGAATGCCTGAATCTGGCAGTTCCACTATTGATGGCGATGAACTTGGACAGCAGTATCGAACTCCTCAGCAAGTGATTTTGGACAGCCATTGCGATGTCATTATTGTTGGCCGTGGCATATACGGTAGCAAGAACATGGTTGAACGTGCCAAAGCCTTTAAAGAAGCCGGATGGAGTGCATACCAGCAACGCATTCATGCACTGAACAGAGCATGAGCAGAGCATGAGTTGGCTCATCCACTACACGTACAATCTAAATAAATAGCTATTTGCTAATCTGTGTATTTCCAAGACTTTATTCTCACATCAGTACTCTACCAATGTGCTATTAGAGTTAATTATTTGCTAAAAGCGATCCTAGCTCTGCGCTGCGTTCGGTAGCACGCTGGACGGCTTCAGCAAAGATGGCTCGAATCTTGTTCCCTTCGAGTGAGTTGAGTGCTGCCTCGGTGGTACCATTTGGAGATGTGACTTTGCGTCTTAATTCAGCTGGATCCTCGCCTGTATCTGTCAACATGCGACCCGCTCCTAAACAAGTCTGTGCTGCAAGTCCACGAGCAACATCTGCAGGAAGCCCCAATTTCACTCCTGCGGCTTCGAGGCACTCGACCAACAGGAAAAAATAAGCTGGACCAGATCCTAACATGGGTCAAAAAAGCATCAGTTGATCAATCACCAAATATATTTTACACAAAATCAGTGTTCAATACATTGAAATGAACTTACCAGATATGCCTGTTACGACATCCAACAGAGATTCCTCCTTGACCCAGTAGTTTTGCTTCGATACAGACTTGAGCACAGCAGAAACAATTTCCTTTTGATTGGTGGTGACTGAAGGAGCTGCATACATACCCGTTGCTCCTTCGACAACCAACGCAGGAGTGTTTGGCATGCATCGCACAATTGCTGGTGACTCGGTCATCCCTTTCTTGGCTGAACATGTCAACCACTTCAACAAGTTTGAAATGGTAATTCCAGCAGCAATTGACACAATTAATGGCTTGTGAGTCAAGACGGCGTCCGAAATGCCTTCAGCAACGGATCTCATGACTTGAGGCTTGACAGCAAGAATAAGAACATCGACAGGAGTCGTTTGGCTTTGATTGGTAAACGCAATTGCCTGAGTGTTTGAGGTGGTGACCTGAACTTTAAACCGTGAAACTAGACGAGCACGAGCTTCGTCCCAGGGTTCTGACACGATAATATTGGATGCGGAAAGACCGGATTTCAACAGTCCGCCAATAATTGCACCAGCCATATTGCCTCCACCAATAAAGCCAAGACGCAACCCAGTAAAGTCTGTCATGTTGTAATGCCAAGACTATTGCGAGAATTGTTGAGCATCAAACTAAAAATAAAAAGAAGAATCAAGCCAACCCTCAGGCAGTCCCTTCCATCCACGTGTCATGCAATCCATTACCGTTCGAACATGCAGAGCTTTCTGCTTTATTACACATTGGCCGCTGTATTCACGCAAAGCAAACTACATTGATCTCGATGACTGTTGATTTTGCTTTAAAGCAATCGTTGAATGCTCGTGTGCTTTCATACTAGACATTGAATGCTTATTATGTACCGAGACTTTTATTTAGTGTTCCATTTTATGTGAATACAATTGTAGAATAATGTATACATTTTTCTACGTGCTTATGTAGGCATCATTGTATGGCTCGTCGCTCCACCTTGTTGGGTCTTCCACAAGCAGATCTTTGGAATTGATGTCGGTATCTTCCATATTACTGCTACTGTTTGTATGAGCAACCTGGTTTGTGGTTTCATTCTCATCTACCACTTTTTCATGGTCAGTAGTTTCCATGTCTTTGATTTTGGCCTTTTTTCGTGCACGCTGAGCTTGAATCTGCTCTACGAGTGAGTCAAACCCACTAGAATATTTTTCCAAATGTGTCTCGACAGCAATCTGATCCTGGGTAGTCGCATGATGCGTCGCATGAGCTTTAAACGGGGTTGCATGAGAATGTGAATTATTTTTCTTGCTACGCTCCCAATCTACCAACTTTACTCTTAGAGCTACATCCGACAAAGGATGCCGTGAATCCAAATTTGCATTATACCGAGTAATCCATTCAGTATGTCGTTCAATAAGTAATTTGCGTGGTCCAGTGGAATTCAAACCATCGTCCTACAATTAAACGTATTGACAAATGAGTGTGTCAAATGGTGATATAGGTTTATACATGGCATAATGATGGCAGTATTTACTTTGAGCATTTTTTTAATCTTTGCGTCGCTTAGCAAACTATAGGGATGATATGGCTTGGGAAGACGTTTAGGGGTGTTGGTGTTCAAAAACGGCGCACTGTCAGCTGGTTGAGCAGCACCATAAACAGTGTGTGATGAGAGTTTACTTGCTGTTTTGGAAGTGGATAGAAATACACGAGAAGTCGTAGAATGTGTTGGTGACGTGAGAGTCTTGGACTGGTGCAATGATGACTTGCAGCCATTATCCAAATGTGCATTGAGATGACATACTTTTAATCGATCCGAACATATGGGACACACCACCAAATCATTTCCTAAAAACAATCGAGTTAGCTTCAAGTCAATCTCATGCATTAAATATTTTGTTTTAATGAACATTTGTCTGTGCTATTTACAGCCGCATTCATGTAAATGAAACACTAAAGGTGTTTAATAAACAGCCAATCTCATCAAATGACTGGTATCGCTAAATTACTAAACAATGTTGCATTGTCTGAATTCCTTGACAAAGTTTACTGATTGTAGCAGCAGAGTCCATCAAACATTCAACTATTGTATACTCCAAAGCAAAATAGAAGCAGCCATTGCAAGATAGTACAGAAAGGGTTCCATCTACGTGAATACAATTCCAAGACTTGCCTTGTGGTTGGTATTTATCTAGCGTGCTGACATTTGCTGTACCGGATATCAAAATATTAGTGGTCGATGTAGTTTCTGGTGTGGTAGAATGGTTGACAACTTCAGTTGAAATAGATGATGAAGCACCATCAAAATCTTCAATTGGAGCAACTGTCTGGTTTGGAGATGCTACCTTGACTTTGCTGAGTTTACAAGATGGTTGCTGAAGTTCATCGTCTGACAGTTTATTACTACTCGTAGAACTCCGTGTCAATCTCTGTCGCTTAGATTTTGAGTTGGGTGTATACGTAAAATCGGAATCAATATCGTCATTGTATTCACTTGCATCAAAAGAAGTCGATTGTTTTTGAAGTTGACGGGCTGAATGCCTTCGTGTACTGCATGGCGATGCTGGTAAAGATGGTGTTGTTTTTTGTGATAAATGCAATGATTGTTCCAGTTGAGTAGTGTTGGAAGTATACACCGACTGATTGCTCGAGCCATTTAATGGCAGTTCGGATGATAAAACCCATTCACCAGCATCGATCTGCATCAGCGGAATCATGTAATTTGATCGAATCTCTTTGTATTGCCACACAAGATCGTCCAAAACTTGGGTTCGAATAAGCGAGTTCAAAATTAAAATCATTAGAGTAATGCACATCCAGATGATCGGTTTGTGACAATAGTCAAAGTATTCAATATCCAGTACAAACTACACCACACCTCGATTGTTTTTGAGGGCATGCAATCCAGTAACATCTTTTCCACAACTTGGACACTGCATCTTTACAAGCAAACTCTGACGAATACACAGTGAACAGAATGTATGGATGCAAGGCAAGATCATGGCAGCATCAAAAAGTTCCTTGCATATCGGACACCGAAGGGATTCATCCATGGCCTTGAAAGGAGTCAGGGAATCTGGCCACTCTTTTAAATCTAACTCTTCCGAGGCATCAAGTGCCAATGCAGTGCGACTTGCATCGCTTTCGTTTTTGGTATTATGGCTTGAACCATGCATGACAACTTTGAGGTTGACTATCAAACATGACTTGTTCGTCAGCTTCCAATTCTCACCCTCAGGAATTTAACCTGGATTCAAATGGCATGATTTCTTGCATTGATACAATCGCTCTATATAATCACAATTTCATCTGTCGAATGAATTACACGGCCAGAAATGAGCAAGACTCCATGTTAGAGTATCATGGCAATAAAACTATTGTTGAATCTCGACTATTCCCCCCTTTTTACATCCAGTTGTTTTGTTATATCACAGCTCAAATCAGTATACAAGATGTTAATGTAGTGCATTTCTTGTGAAAGTTGAAACATTCGCGACCAAGAGGTTGTGATGATTTTAAAGGCTCTGAGCATAGGCAATCAGAGAACGAGTGGGACGGCCAGTCATACCCTTGGCAAGATATCCAGAGGCTCCAGATTGTTCCATAACACCAGCAATGTCTAAAAATATTAATTTATTAGCAAAGTTGTATCTCAAACCAAAACAGATACATGACTTACCAACGTGCGCATAATCAAGAGCAAGTTTTGCAGGTTCGTCACTTCCTTCAGCAGTAGGAATAGTAGGCACGAATTCTTTAAGGAAAATGGCAGCAGTGCACGAGCCACCAGTACGTCCCTGTGTAGTCAATGCATCAGTTTAATCCGAGTCAACTTGGTATCAATTGTCACAAATACAATGTAAACTTACACCAACGTTCTTGAGATCAGCAACGTGACTAGAGATTTGCTTCTTATACTTTTCAGAAAGAGGCATGCGCCAGAATGGATCGCCAGACTTTTCACCGGCAGCCTCGAGTTTCTTCCACAGATCGTCAGAGCTTGAAAACACACCAGCAAAGGGGAATCCAAGAGCAACGACCATAGCACCAGTCAGAGTAGACAGTTCAACGAGCGAGTGGGGTTTGAAAGTAGTGGATGCGTAGTAGATGGCATCTGCAAGGATCAGACGACCCTCGGCATCAGTGTTGTCAACCTCGATGGTTTTTCCATTCATGGCAATCACAACGTCGCCAGGTTTAGTAGCACGGCCGCTAGGCATGTTTTCGGTCAAAGGAATAACGGTACAGAGATTGATGGGCACACCGAGTTTAGCAATGCCCCACGTGGCACCAAGAACACAGGCAGCACCGCCCATATCACCCTTCATCAAAGCCATATCGGTAGGGGGCTTCAACGAGATACCACCCGAGTCAAAGGTAACACCTTGATAATGTATCCAGATTAGAAGAGTGTGCACAATTGAATAAACAGTCAGTACTAGAGTGAGCAGCATAATGACACCAACGTAACAAGCAAAAACAAGACTTGAGTCTACTTACCCTTTCCCACAAAGGCAAGAGGCTTTGTACCAGCAACACCGCCATTATAATGAACTTCCAAGAGTTTAGGAGGTTGCTCTGAGCCACGCGAAACAGACAGGAACGATCCCATCTTTTTCTCTTCCATAAAGTCAGAGTTTCGCACAGTGACAGTAACATTTGGAATTCCCTTGAAGATCTCGACAGCATTGTTGGAGAAAATGGTGGGAGTCATGTAATTGGCAGGTGTTTCCATGAAATGGCGAGCATAGTTTTGGGCTAAACGATTTAGGATTGAACAAGATTCAGCGTGTCGATATGGACTAGAACATGGATTCAAAATGCGGGTCACTTACATTGAGCCAGAACACTGCCAACGTGCCATTCGTCCTTTTCGAATGCACCTTCCATGGCAGAAACAGTGACAGGAGAAGCCTTGTTGTCTGCACCCTTGAGTTCGTCGTATGCATAAGTGGATAAATGGGCACCCTCAGAAGTGCCTATGCAACAAGAATGAATATTATGCAACCTTTAGATCCAGCCAACAAACGACTACTTTACCAACACCATGACCAAGATGATCAAACTTGACTTTGAGATCCTGTTTCTTGCCCAACAGATGCAAGGCATTGATGGCAGATGCAGCCTGGTTTCATTGGATAAATGTTGAATATGAAATGGTAGAAAACAGTAATAAACATGCGATCGACTTACAGCCAAACGGGCCGTTTCAGCAGAAGCCTGAACATCAGTACAAGGCTTGCCAAGACCAACCACTCCAACGATTGGAGCATCAATGCCTGGAACACCAAACAGTCTGCACAGGATTCAGTTTATCATCAAGATCTCATTACATGATCAAGTAACTTACAGACGAACTTCTTGAGCTTTTCCTAGAAAGTTGGACGCAGCCAATTGAGATTGAATTCCAGCCAGTGCAGACGCAGGCAATGATTTAGAGAACACAGTGGGAGCTGCAGCATTAGCAGTTTCGTGAGCCTAATTCATGGTCAAATGTAAGCGAAATACTTGATACATGACAGCAATCCATACTTACGCCATACACAACAGCTTGAGCAATAGTACGTTGAGCCATTCTTAAAACAGTCGACATGAATTTATCAAGAAAAGAACAAGCACACATGACTTGGATCTAGACTTTACTGCTGAATTCATGCCATTCAAGAGTGCATCTTGCCATTAACAATTTCGTATTCTTTCCATTTTATTGTGTTTTGGTTGCTTTATAATCATGAACTTTAGAGCAAGTTTCTTGTCTTTCACTGCTGTCTGTTGCTACGTTTTAATCCTTGTTATTCTCTAGGGTTCAAGTGCCGTGCAGGATACTCGGTTTGGTGACAAGAATAAGAAACTCCTCAAAACTCTGTTGTTTCCTGAATGCTTCTCTAAAAAGGTATATCAATCATCCTGTCAGCTCATGTTCTGTTGTGGAAATACCAGTCTCGTGTCCATCAATTTGTTCAGGTGCATGTGTTCCACACTGCAGTGTCCATGCAAGTCATTGGCAAGACTCAACTCATGTTTTAATCTGCTTGGATATCTATAAACATAGGTCGATATGAAAAAAGTCCAACTCAAGACTATCCGTCCTTGGATTGCAAAAAAAGTGGGCGATCTACTTGGGTTCGAGGATGATGTTGTTTTGGAATTCATATTTAATCTGCTCGACGAAGAGGTGATGTCTACATTTTGATATCTATTCGTGCATGGATTCACTGCTAGAAAAGCTGACCCACTTGATTGCTTTCATGCTTGTCGTGCATTCTAGACTGATCCTCGGCAGATTCAAATCAAACTTACTGGATTTTTAGAACATCATACTTTATCGTTCATGGAAGAGTTGTGGAAGTTGCTTCTGAGTGCGCAGTCGTCTCCCACTGGTATTCCAAAAGAGTTTTTAGATTCAAAAATCGAAGAGATTCGCAATAAAAGGGTATGTGTATACCCTACACTCCATATTGTATTTGTACTAACATGTGTTGGCTCATCTACGTGCTTTCATAGGAACAAGATGAGAAACTTGCTGTAAATCTTTCTTTAAAAAGAGAAAAGATGGAACAAGAACGAATTCAGCGGAGCTCCGTCTCTCAAGCATTGGGTCATCAGAACTCTGTAAATCAATCAAAAGATTCATCTAAAACCCGAGTCAATTCACTCGAGGTGAGTCAATCTATCCAATGTGTTGCTGTCTTTATGTTTAAAACCGTTGTGTTTTAATTTTTTAATGATCAGGGTTACAAGTTTACTGCCATGCCGGTTCAAAGTCGTCGAAAAACTGATAGATCTAGATCCCGTGAACGTCATTCAAACCGATATCATAACCGTGAAGATAAAGATCAGTATTCTGACTCTAGCCAGCAACATGATAGGCATGATAGAGACAGGGATCGTCGTCGTAGTCGAGACGACACACGCGACTCAAAACACGTTGATTCAAGACGCAGTCGTGATCGACCTGGTTCGAATTCGTTGAAAACTAACGATTCTATCGAAGCTGTAGACTCGGAAAACGAGCAACGACCACGAGGTGAATCCAGTCGTAGTAATGGCCGTGTTGCTCATTCTCGACACCATGATAGTCATTCTCAAAGTAGATCTGATAGAGACTCTGAAAGGGCTGCAAGACATCGACACCATGATAGTAGTCGCGAGAGAAAATCGCACAAGTCCAGAAAAATATCAAGACGCTCTTCTAGCCGCAGTCCAAGCTCCCACAAGAGATCAAGGCGTCGTAGTGAGTCATCTATTAGTAGTCAGAGTAGCGTCAATACTACAAGCAGCAATCATCAAAACATTCGACATAAAAATGATAAAAGTGTATCATCAAGTCGTGCTATACAAAATTCTAGAGATCAACAAAGCAGATCATCCAGGCGCGAGCGGCATGAGCATTCTGATTATTATCATCGCAATCGTAGCCCAAACGCTCATCATGATTTAAAATCCAGGCGTCCATCTTCCCAATCTTCAAGATCGTCCTCGCCTGTTGGACGTGGTAAAAGCAAACAAGACCTTTGAATTGCATGAGAATGAAAAAGCTCTCAAAACTTTGATTGTAGTTGGCTTTCCTAAAAACTAATTTGTAGCATGGTTTATAAAATCATCAATGGGTGATTGAATTTAAATTATTGTGTTCATGTAAAATACCATTGAACAAGAATGCCAAAATGTATACTAAACAGTCAGTTTCATGGAATGATGGGTGTCAGTTTACTGGCCAACATTGTGTTTTTTAAACTTTTTAATTGACTGCTCTTTTAGTGATTGATATCAAACCAACAGTTGCATTCTTTGTTTTCTTGAACTATAACGTATCTGATATTAGAATACAGGAGTTTGATGGCAGTTGAATCCAACATTTGGATTGTAGTCGAATTGGGTGATTGTGCAGTGTAGAATTGTACCAATCATTCCAGTTTAAAACTATAGTTTGCATTATAAAATAGTCGTTGTTTGAAAGAATTGAAAGTACAACGAATACTCGGCCATTTCAAACCAATTGTTTCGTTTTACATGAATACGCTGTAAAAGTATTTTTTTAAACCAGTTTCTTTTTTCCAATCTTTACAACTATTACAATGGCTTCACAGGACAATTGGGGATTCCAAAATACTAGTAACGGTGCTGGAAATGGAACAGGATGGGGTGCTGGTGGTGCTTCACAGAACGGTGGTTCTGCAGCCCACAATAATACTACTGCGTCTGGAGGTGCTCACGAAGCAACTCATCAGCGCCAGCCCAGAGTTGATGTTGAATACACATGTGGTGGTGAGACTTTATTGCCATGTCTCTTGGTTTTGTTGAAGCTATTGATATATTCTTGTTAGAGATATTGACATTGTTTTGAATGTAATTATAGAATGCACGGCATTGAACCAGATCAAACCCAGAGAGCCTATCCGATGCAAAGACTGTGGATATCGCATTATGTACAAGAAGCGCACAAAAAGAAGTATGCATTGATGGTCTTGAGTTGCACTGTTGATGGCATTTTGACTAAACTAACATTTTATTTGCAAGTGGTTCAATTCGAGGCTAGATAAACATCAATTCAATCGAATACATGGCATTGCAAATTCAAAAGTACACCATCAGCTTTTTTGTGGCATTCTATCTTGATACTGTTGCATTAGCCAAGATGTTTGAACCTGTTTTTCAAATCACAATGAACTATAATACACTGATGTATATATGATGCTTTTTCTAAATGCAATTGCGACTACAGGAACAAGATTTTATTTTTAAACTAAATCATGATATTGTGATGCCGTTTTTCTCAAGTGCTGTTTCCATTTTAAGCATTTTCCCTGTTAGTTCCTCTAATAGCTTTTGCATTTTCAAATTGATGTTGGCTAGAATTGCTGGATCAACCTTGCTCATGGCAGTGACAGAAGATAAAATATTCATATTGAATGTGTGGGTGGGTTTGAGTTTGGTATCTGGCTGAAGCATTGATGCATGGTCTTGGAGGATATACTGCTGGATAATCTTTGATTTTTGGCCTAGTTCCTTTTCTTTGTGGTCTAACTCGTTTGTTATACTGTTGATTCGATCAGATGCACTTTTAAGCTCGTCCTCGGCATGCCGCACACGACGATTGAGAACTTCATTTTCTTGCGCGAGGGACAGCAAGTCGCCAGTGAGTCGTTCCATTTTCGGGTTACTTTGCAAAGATTCGTTGAGCTGTCCATGTGACGCACTTGTACCAAGAATGGTAGATCCAGATGTTTTTAATGATAGATTCTGCAACTGGCCCAACGTGTCATCTTCCTCGCGTTGCTTGCGTTCCTTGATAAGCTGCTTTTGAATGTCCTTGACAAGTTGTGCACTCTTGCGTTCGACTATTTTCATTTCATTCTCGGTCTCTGCTAGTTTCTTGGATATTATATCGTTATCTTGCATCAATTTAGCGACCTTGGACTGCAGTTCGGTAATAGTTGATCCATTGGTAGATTTAGCAGCATCCCACTCTGCTTTATGGGTTTGGACAAGTGCATCTTGTTCAGCTTGACAAGCAGCAAGTTTTGTTGCTTGGGAAATTGCTTCATCACGTTCCTTTTCTAATCTATTGATTGATCTTTTAAAAACAGCTTCCGCGTGTATCAACTCGTCATTGCGTGCCTTGATCTTTTTATGGATCTCATCCCGCTCAAGCAACGATTTTGATGATCTTTCATTAGAGGCTCGTGCAACCTCGAGCTCTTGAGATAGAATATCATATTTGGACTGAAGTTCACTCTGTTGTTCAGTCAAACAGTGCAGTTTTTCAGTGAGTGTATTCTCTTCTTGTTTAATCCTGTCAGAATCAGCGTATTGACTAGTCATTTGCTTGGTCAAATCTGCTACTTTGGCATTCAAACTTTCTACCACTTTGGACGATTCAGCTTTGATAGTGGACAGTTCGGTTTCAATAAGCTTGAGTTTCTGTTGTGCTTTGAATGCTTCTTCAGCTTTTTGAATAATTTCTTTTTCATATTTTTTGACCGATTCAGCCTTGAATGTTTCAAAATCCTTGCGAGCTCTTTCAACATCGGTTACCAGTTTTGTTTTTTCCAGCCTGTATCGGTTTTCCATATCCATTTTTTCTTTTTTGAAACGCTCTTCTATCTCGGCACGCTCCTTCGCCCGTAAGTCTAGCTCCATTTTTTCCTTTTTGGATTTCTCGACCATGTCACCACGCAGTCTTTTTTCATTCAACTCGCGATCATCATGTACCATGGTTAGCTGCTCTTGAAGACTCTTGATCAACGTATCATTTACTTCTTTATTCTGGCTCATCTGCTTGTGCAGCGTATCAATCTCCTTTTTGAGAGCATCAATCTGTTTGATCAATATAGCAGTCTCATCGTGGTGTTTGCCAATCTGAGCTTTCAACTCGGATATCTTTTCCGAGGTTTGATGCTGCAAGGCAGAAAACTGTTGTGTTTGATCATGCAGACACGTTTCAAGTGAAGAACGTGTTTGTTTAAGTGTTGCTTCGTGATTTTGTTCAAGTACTTGCAATGCTAGTTTGTGTTTGTTCATCTCCATATCAATTGCTTGTTGCTTTTGCTTAAGCTCTAATTTATGCTTTGTAGTCAGATCAGCGATGGTTGATGTTTCAAATATTTTACTGGCACATAACTGGGATTCAAGTTCTGCAATGCGTGCCGTGAGTGCATTTGTAGCATTTTGCTGATCCTGTTCACTTTTTTTTTGAAGGGCATCAATGGTATCGATTTCAACAGAGTGATTTGCTTTGTCTTTGAAATGTTGCAGCTCTGTTTGGAGATGAGCCATGTCAGTCTGTGCACTTTTTTGTTGTTGATCTAGCATTGATTGATGTTCTTTTTTGAGAGACTCATTTTGAAGCTCATGAGCCAACTTTAGTGCAGTAATCTCTTGCTCATGTTTATCGTGAGCGGATTTGAGAATTTCGTCTACATCAAGCTGAGTACTCGTTTGATCAGATGAAGGGGTGAAAGATGCTACCAATTCATACTGTTTTCGTATAGTCTCAATTTCTTCCTTGTGGGATGCAACAAGGTACTCCAATTCTTGGGTATGTTTTTGATTCAACTCGGCCGTAATTTTGCTTTTCTCGGCTTCAACATGGTGCGCATGTTGTTCAGTGAGTTGACTCATTTCTTTAGAATGCTGACTTTTGAGGTCTGAGAGACAAGTTTCCATATCCCGAATCATTGCACGGTGTTTTTCAATTGCTTCAGCGTCGTCCTTGACATTATTGCCAGCATCCTTTGTCGATTCTAGTTTTTCCAGTTTATTGGAAGCTTCATTCAGTTGATACTCCAGTCTATCCATTTCTTGCTTCATTTTTTCCTTTTCTTGAAGCAATATAGCTGTACTGTCATTTAATAAGCTTATTTTCTCTGTCGAATCGGAAAGATGATGCTGATCCAATTCAGTCTTTTGAATCAACTCCATTTTCTCGCGTAGCAGCTCCTTATCCGCTTGCGTATCAAGTTTAAGCTTTTCGTATTCCGTTTCAATTGTCTTGCAGATTGAATTTGAAGCAGTAAGAGATTGATGGGCAACGGATAACTGCGTTTCAAGCTGTTTGATTTGATCTTGAGACTGCTTGAGACGAGATTCAAGCTCTTCAATGTTTGCAGTCGAGGTGGAATTAGAAGCAACAGGCACACAAAGCTGATGTTGAGCAATTGCATTTTTGGCGGTATCAAGCTCTGCCTTTAAACGATCAATCTCTTCCTGTGCTGATTTTAGCGCTTTTTCTAGATGCTTGGTATCAAGATGGTGTGGCTGATCTACTAATGCATCGGTTGATAAAGATTGACAGAGCGGAACTGAGGCTGCTGATGGTGACGTAGTAGTAGAAGGTACTGGAGATGGATTGGTGCTAGCAGTAGAACCAACCGTTCTTGGCCACCAACCAGTACGCGTAGAGCCTGTTTGGACAGTTGGTGCGGGTGCAAAGGAAGTCACAACTACAGCTGGTGCAACTAGATTGCCCGATGAAGACAATGGCACGATTGAAGCACGATGGGAATTTGGTTGTTGTCCTGATGCAGTGTTTGCAATTACTGATGTTCTCCCACTTTCCATATTTTCCAAAGATCCACCAATATTTGATGTAGAGTGTGCAGCTAATGTAGTGCTGGTCTGAGTTTGGTTTGCTCCTTGCTGCTGTGAGCGTGACCACCATGATTTGGCAGATTGACTTGCTGCTGCTAATGATCCTAGCACTTCGGTAGATCCTCCAGCACGTTTACGCTCTATATCCAATTGAGACTTTATATCTTCAAGCTCAAACTTCAATACTATGGCAGTCTCTTCAAGATTTGTCTTGTCAGCTCTTAAATTGGTTTGAACTTGTTCGAGTGCTTTGACTTGTGCACGCATAATCTCAATGTCAGCAACGTCGGTCATATAAGCTGCATCTTTAGATGATTCATTTTCTAAATTTTCAGTGACTAATTCTGGTGCTGTAGGTGGTTGGGTTTGTGTTGATTCGTAAAGATCATGCAGCTGTTTTGTCAACTTTAAAATTTTAACTTCAAGAGTCTTTTTTTGATTGTCTGCCTGTGTAACAATTATATGCATATTTTCTTTAAGCGCATCATTCTAGCATTTCCATAAAACCAACGTAATTGATGAGTGTATTAAATATAGTAATGTGATGAGTTTAGTATGCGAGATTTCAAAACAAGTGTTAAATGGTGATTATTCTATAATATATTCACAATCAAGCAAAAAAGATGGATCCAAGAACAATGTATACCTGGAGTTTTTGATCACCAAGTAGTTCTAGTTCAATTTTGAGTCTACTGTTTTCATCCAAAAGTGTTTGCATAGCAGTCTTGTCTCGGGTCCGATTCACCAAAACTACAATTCCATTTAATAGCCAGCCAATCAATACTTTGTATACAGATAATATGTGGATTTCAAAGCATGGCTATTTGCAAAATATTACCTGCAGCTCGCTTTAATTGCTTTTCGATATCATTTTTATCTTTGATAATCTGACGAGTGACTGACTGCTCCTTTTCAAGTTCTGTATCCCGGTTATTTTTATGGAGAAAATGTATAGGCAGGCATTAATACATTGATATTTTAAAGTTAGTATCCAGTCTATTCACATTAGCTTTTATCCACCCTTCTTGTATTTATTCGGTATTGTCTAAATCCATTACGCGACATATCCAGTCGCTTTGGAAAATACAAGTCTAATGGCAGTCGAGTCGTAATAGCAACATATTTTACCAGTAGTAAGGCTATCGGCCCTTGAAACAGCCTCATCTTTTTGTCTAGTCAAAATATCAACCTATACACAAATAAAATGTCAATACTATTTATTTTTGCTAGTGGATCAGAGTATAATAAATGAAATTGAGCAATGAAGCCATTCTTGCCATAATTAAATCATGCATCTATCTCAAACCCAATGAATATTTAAACAGTAGGTTGTGATCAAAATAGGTATATACCTGCTGTTTAATTTCATTTTCAGCCTGCAATGCAAATTTATGTGAATCATTCACATCTGCCATTGTAAAACTGTCAATAAAGTTTTCAACTTTCGAGTTTTTCCAAATCAAGAAATCAATTTTCGTGTGCCAAATATCTTTAGGTGATGTTTTGAATCTAAATGGCAAAATTACAACTGCGTTTACATAAGATGAAGTATTATCTTGAATGGGTTGTTTCAATTTGGCTTTGGAATATACAGTGGTCGAGTATGTGTTACTACAAATTGACTACTTTTTCAATAGACATCCGTTTTATGATATAAAATCAAACTATAGTTTTAAACTGAAGTTGTTTTTTGGCATGGCCATCCTGCAATCCAAATATTGTATTGGACTGTTCTCAAACTCTGTACAAACTATTTTTTACTATCCTAGCATGTCAAGCATACTTGCGCTCTAGTTCAAGAAAACACAGATTGTAGTTGTTTTTATATCAATCATCAGAAGGGCCTGCTTAAAAAACACATTTTCAATAAATTAGGTGAATCATCATTTCATAGACTGGCCGTTTAGTATGTACTTTGACACCTTTATTTAGTGATTCATTTTATATGAATATAGCTGTAAAAAGCTTAAAATACAATAAAATTTTCAAGGGATGCAATTCACAATTTTCCATGAACAAAAGAATAATCAATTACACATTAAAAATGTGTATGTATACCATTAAAAGATATCATGATAATCATTGCCAATAGTCGCAGTTATGACCAACATAGAGGCAGCAAATGTCGTGGAAATCACAACCGGTAGTTGGAGTAGGTACAGCAGTAGTACGTTTAGTAGTGGTACGCGCAGTAGTAGTACGTTTAGTAGTGGTGCGTGCAGTAGTAGTACGTTTAGTAGTGGTGCGTGCAGTAGTAGTACGTTTAGTAGTGGTGCGTGCAGTAGTAGTACGTTTAGTGGTACGAGCAGTGGTGGTGCGTGTAGTACTAGATTCGTCAATAGTGGGTAGAGCAGTAGTAGATCCATCAGTAGTAGATACAGCAGTAGTAGTTACATCAGTAGTGGGTAGAGCAGTAGTAGATCCATCGGTAGTAGATACAGCAGTAGTAGCTACGGTAGTGGTAGTTACGGTAGTGGTACTAGAACTTGGAATTGGTGGTGGAGTACCAGTACCACCAGAAATGCAGGACTGTGATGTTAAATCCCAGTTTTGCTGGATGAGGAAATTGCGGTTTGCCCATCCCAAGTTGTAGGTACCTCCGTTAGCAGTCTTGGCTGTTGTTCCAAATGAGAAGGAGCAAAGATCGCTTCCTTCAAATCCATTAGCATCCTGCCAGGCGCGAATACCATCGGATTGAGGGTTGATGACAGCCGAGGCAATCTGTCCAGCTACAGTATTAAGCATAGCATCAACACCAGCATCACCGTTAGGTGACGCATTTGCATTTTGTGAAGGACCACAGCCGTTCATGCACGAGACACTTGGGTTTCCAACCATAGCATAGGGCACACGGGAGCCTGAAGCAAGAGTGGTGGTCAAGTGATAGCCACAGTAGTCTTTGCAAAAGGTGCCAGTATTGCTTGCATCAGCACGCACAGACTCGCTGACATCGGGAGCAGTCAATACAACGTACACGCCATTTGGGTCGTCTGGGAGTGCACCCGATCCAACATATGTATTGATAAGATCGGGAATATTGGTTCCAGAGAGCGACTTTCCAAGCGTATAGTTGTCGCTGACAGTTCCACCAAGCGCACAGGCTCCGCTTACAAATGTTTTTTGACCAGAGGTGGTTTGTTGAGAATAGTAACCCTTGAGTACGCCCCACCACGTAGACTGTCCAAGCCCATTGGTGAAATCTTCAATAATGGATTTTTGAGCAGCACTCCAAGTACCATAGTAGATATCTACAAAGTGCAATTTAAAATTAGTATTTTGCAATAGCTATAGAATGGTAATTGACTAAAAATATTGGTCTCCGACATTCAATATTTTGTAACAATCCAATTATACGTATTTGCTGATCACTTACAATAGATGGACATTGATCCAGTCAACAATGGAGCACCCAAAGTATAGGACATTGTTGGATTGACGGCAGCACGATGGCTGGAAGATTTTACACTAGAGAGTGCATTGGACTTGACAATATCGCCAGACGCATGAGCAGCCACTGAAGCAATCGCTAGACTGGCAATAAGGGCAATGTCGACAATCATTATTCTACAAAGACTTGACAAAACAGTTTGATTAAAACCAAAAAGATATTATTGTTTGTTAAATACGCATTGACGCCCAGTCATACTCTTGAGCCCTGACCCTGACAATGTGCTATCACAGCATGTATCGGAATTTTGCATTCAACCTGCAGAAATGTCAATGGTTACTGTTTCCCGATTATACCCGGAAAGAATAGTTTGCGGGTATAGTCACCACATGAAAATTGGATTGAGTGCCATTTTATTGGTTATTTTTGACGAGTTGGCCTGACTTCTGACCAACAACCAGCTTGGGTATTACTTTGGCCAATATTACATGTGACATTAGCAGTATGTAAAGAGCACCGGATAATACCGTTTTTCTTGAATGAGAATAACAGCTAAAATAACTAAAAACTAGTAAAAATGTCAGTGACTTGATTAACTTTTGTTGTATAATAAAAATAGTATGAAATGAGATTTTACATTTCTTGTACAACATTAATTGTAGTGCAACTTTTCCTTTCTTTCATTTCATTTCTTGATGCTTTCAGCAATGTCTTCCACAAAACATCGACCAAACCCAAGAAAACGACCAATCGACCTTGTAACTCCTGAATTCCCTCCTCTACCTGCCATATCATCACTGAAGGCAACTGTAGAATTTGCTGCCAAGTCACAAGAAGCTCTGCGTTCGATCCCCACCATTTCCACCAACCTTGCCTCTCTGTTTCTTCCTCTGATTTCTCCTAATCGACTTCAACGGCGATTTAGAGTCGAGGAAAACACAGTGTTTGTGGTTATGACAAAGTCTTATCCCCTCTTGAAGAACGAACTTGACTTATTTAGTGTAAAAGACTTTTACGGAATTTATGTACGAGGCCCAGTTGGAATTGGAAAGAGCTATTTGCTGTATTTGCTGGCTGCTGAATATCGCCTGAACCGAGAAAATTACAGAGTCACCTACATCAATAATTGTGCTGCATGGAGAGCATACAAGTTTGGATATATCCTCAGAGAACTTGTCACTACATTTTATGATGATACTATTGGAGAAAAGTCTATCGTGGAATGGTGTCAAGCAGTTACTGAGAGTAACAAAGAAGAAATGATGATGATGATGGAGTCACTTGTCAATTATATTCACCTGAATAAGCTTCAATGGATTGTAATTTTTGACCAACACAATGCTTTGTTCGATCCTTCGGTTATCAAGGATTTCCCTTTCAGTCTCATCAACTACCTTTCCAACCACCAAAACTCGAACATCAAGATAATTGTTTCAGCATCTGCCAGCAACGAAGGATATCCAACTAAAATGAAAGGTTGGCATACTCACGATCTCTCGAGTCACCGCTTTGACCAAGAAGAATTCAAGGTGTGGTGTGACCATTACTTGCTTGAAGATAACACAAAAGTCGATCACGAATCTGAAGAGGCTATGGATGCGTTGTTCTGGACGGGTGGAGTTCCATACGAATTGGATTTGCTTTGGAAGCAACCAGAAAAATGTTTGATTGAAAAGACAATACTCTATCGAAGGGAACGATTCAGGGATATGGCTTTCAGTCATGGCAAGTTTTGTGACAAGTTATCGGATGAAAAGAAAAACAATCTTAAAGAATGCATCTCTCGCATGGCTCTAAGACTATCACCTCCCGAAATTAACATTGGAATGGACCGACAACTCTTTAATATTATTGAAGATGAAGACGGCCATAAAATCATTACTGCATTGAATCCCATAGCTCGTCGTGCATTGCTATACTACCACGGTCGTGGTCTTATGACTTGCCTTGGGTTTCTTGCTGAAATTGTTTTGAAAGAAACATACTATCCCAACAGCATTAAGGGTAAAATTAGCGAAATGTACATCACTACTATGCTGGAATTATCGCAGCTCTTTACTTTTGAATTCAGAAAGGTTGCAAATATTGCTAAAATTGGATCACCAGAAGATTCTACTGAAAGAAAGAGTATTGAAATCAAGTCCGTGGTTCGTTTTTTGACAAACAAGCTACCCCCAAAGACATCCTTCCACAAGAACATCACGAGCTTGTTTGTTCCCGAATCTCCGAATTATCCTAGATTTGATTTCTTTTTGTGGGATTCAAAACGTCAAATTATGATGGGATTTCAAGTAACAGTTCACAATCCGTTTTCTGATCATCCAAAAATGACCAATTCACAGACATGGCAGCGATTTTGCTTTGGTAATTCCAAACAAACCCCGATGGAATTGTATTGGGTTGTACCGAAACGCTGCATTGGAACAGATACTGCGTCAGTTGTGGATGATTCTATTATATTGTTTGAAGATTTGATTTCCGATTTTTCTGCGTTAGGAAAGTTGAATCATTGATAAAATTTGCTTTCATACTCCAGTTTTAATTAATTAATCAATTCAAAATCGCATAATAGCTGTATAATAACGGTTGTAAGGGCTTATTATCTGAAGAGTTTTAGTCGCCAGACTGTAAGCAAAAAAGTGTTGTCCTTTTTGATGAGTTATGGATGGTTCTCATGCTTTGTAGAAATTCATCTTCAATAATCAAATTGAACTTGCTTCCATATCG